AACATGCAAGTAATGTGTAATTTTAAGATCTCTAAAACCCATTTTTCCACCATATCATACCTCCAGTGGTCACTGAGAGTATCCTATAGCTGGGTGTTATATTCAACAGGTTTTGAACACAACTCACTGCAATAATCAGCCAAAAATTGTAGTTGAATAGATCCTTTAGACTTACCCCCGTGTTATCCAAAATCAAACCAGTAAAGATCCACACTTCTATCATCTAATGCCATGAAAATGCAGTTTCCTTCAAATAAGGGACTTCTCTTCCTGGCAACAGGGTGATAGCCTGCTTTGTCTTTTGACACAGTCAATAGGGAATTTTTTGAAGTGTATATTACCAATGTAAGTTACCTCAGTGATGACTTGTCTTGACTCACCAAAGCTCTAATGGAGGACAGACATGTCTTGTTTCAGCTTCCAGAGAAAGGTTCGAGGATACAGTCATTTCATTTACCGGTAAATACAAGGAAATGCCTGAAACACATAATGCACTTCTGAGGAAAGATTAAAAAAATGTAATACACAATGTTGGGAAGTCCTGAATAAACAGGTGCTACACGTGAATCAAAAATAAACAATATCGAGTGGGTAATTATCTTACTCCAGTTTACAGGAAGTTGTTGGGGATTTTTAGGTCTTAGAAGTGCATCAGCATGTTCAGCTCATTTTCATTTTTGAATGATATCTCAGCATGTGATAAACTAGAATCCAACCAGTTAATCAGAATGTTTTTGTCTAGAGCCACACAAATGCATACCATGAAACACACCTGCAGGACCCAACATGTGGGGCAGAGATGAAGCTCTGACTCATGTTGTATCAGGTTGACATAAAAAAGAGGATACATGCAGACGAAAAGAGGAATTATGTAGTCATAATTCTAAGGAATATGAGAACGAAGTCCCGCAGATAAACTCCAAATGGTGGGTGGAGTACCAGCAGCTGAAACTGATGATATCATCATCGTCGTTTCAAGTTACATTGAAGTGTCAGACTTTGAGCACTAGAGGGCGCCCTGTTCCATAACTCGCATTGAAGCATACAGGATGACTCCATTAAAAGTGAAGAGAAGCTCATCAATGCTCCAGTTTTTAATTTTTTATTTCTATACTTATTTTAAATCTTCATATTAGGGACCTTGGTTCAAAGCTAATGATAAAAAATCACTTTTTACAAATATTAGCATAAACTTTTGTCGCTTTTCTGGTAAAGAAATCAGAACAAAACCCAGCTGGAGACTATTAAGAGAAACTTTTAGTCTCACTAAACGAGAATATGACTTCATATACTGAATAAACTCACTGTTAAACCAGTGTAGAAAGAGTTTAGTTAATCTTATTTAAGAGTTGTGCAGGTTAGGAGCTCCAGCTTTTACTTTTGCCTATTTCCAGGCCAGAATTTTGCAGTCAGCCATTTTGATTTATTATTATTTTTTAATTAATGTAGGCATGACCATATTTGGATGGGAAGTAGGGAAGTTAGTAACAATTAATGGTTGATTCCAAAAATTCCTTCTTGCTGTGGTTTGAAGTCAGTCACAATGTACAATGTTAACATCATATTTGACCGGAAAATGCTTAAAAGACTTTTAACTCTTCAGGAAAATCATGAGATAAGATATTTTAAAGGGATCAATGTGACTTTTCTTGTATCCAGTAGTGTCGCCCCTGCTGGCTACTGAAAAGAATGCAGGGTAAAGAGACCAACAAAAGCAAGCAAACACATCTTTGCATATTTGAATTATCATCTTTATTTGTTTTATTATATACTTTGTGTTTTTACATAAAGAGACATATTTCTTTTACACATATAGATTATATGGTTAATTTCTATCTGTATATATGTACACCTTAAATAAATCTTACATTAACACCAAGAAAATAAAACATTTACAGTGCAAGAAAGTTCATTAGTGGTCAACTTTCACAGTCGCTTACCGCGGTAAATCTCAATTGATGCCAAGCTCACATGCTTCACTAGTTAGCCTCTGAATTTTTGTCTTTTTGCCATTAAAGGGATCATTGTTTCTTTTTTGAGTTTAAAGTTTCAGTGCTCACACATGACAGTAACTATTTGTTAAAAGTCAGCTAAACTCCTGTTCTGTTCAAGAAAAGGCTGGAGTAATACTCTTATTTTCTGTCTTGCAGAGTAAGATTGAAAGGTTAAAAACCATTCTCAGATTATAAGCCTTTAAGGAACTTGTTGGCAAATTTAACTGGCTGGTTGCCCTCGCCTCATATTTACCAGACTGGTCTGAATTCAGCTTCCTTCTTGAATCTGAAACTCTGTAAGAAAGCAAAAAAGTGCATCACAGAACGTTTTCATTCCTTGAAAGAGTGGGGCGAGTAGAAACTTGAGGTGAGGTGTGATCACAGAGGGGAGCGTGTGGGCGCTATGAGAGCGAGATTGGTTTTTAATGGGGAATGTGCACAAGAGAATTTCACAAAGTACATGAGTCATCAAAGAGGCCTTCAATTAGCTCTTTAAATCTCGCATATGGAAATGTACAGTACGATAGCACAACACTTTTTCAGTAACACCAAAGATTGAGTGACGCAATGATCATAGTTTTCTCTCTTGAAACCTTCGCCAAATGTCATAAATCGCATCAGTAATTGAAGATGTTGCTGATCTGGAGCATATTGGTCTTCAAAGCTTTCATTTCTCTACCACAACCTTCACCGGCATGTTTAGAGTTAAATATGCTAACAAGATGTTAAGTAGTGTTAAAATACAAAGTAATGTATGCCATACAGTTGTTAGGAAATTTAAATAAGAGCTCTTGTGTGTTTTTAATTAATAATACTATGGTACATAAAGACGGCCAGCATGTTACTGAGCTTTTTCCATCCACTATCACAACAAAGGAAATGATTTGAGTGAATCAAGTATAAGTGTGAACCTTTTATCTCTTGCAAAAAAAGTAAAATAAAACAGGTGTTTTATATTTACAAAGTAAAACCAGTGTGTTCTTGGTGTTTCCTTCTATCTGGATGCATAAAAGTGAACATACATAGTTGGTCTAAGCTCAGCTGTACAATCAGTGGGTAACCAGCCCAGATTCCTCACATGCATTTATCCTCACACATTCAGAGAATCTATTTACTATTATTTTACAGATCTACGAAGCTGCTGTACAGAGGCTGTGTTGAGGTAAAGCGGGTGTTTCTGGTCAGCTCTAACAAGGAGGGTCTGCGGAGAAATGGCCCTCCACCTTTTCATGTGGGGGTGTTTTCGGACCACGTCAGGACAGAGAGGACAGCAGGGGGGGACGACGCAAAGACAACACACACAGTATATTGCTGTTAAATCTGTGATTTCCACATTCTATGTAGCTTAAAGAGAGATTGTGTTCAGGTCTTATATTCCCAGTATAAAACACAGATTGGTGTATATTTTTTTTGCAGTTAGTTGCAAAACACTGGTAGTATAACCTCTATTCATAGATAAATACAAGAGATGGTTATTGTGTGATGACTTCAAATGCAGATCGCACACATGCACACGAAAGCACCTTTGATTAGAAAAGAAATTGCACAAGTTTGATAGATATCATTGACCATACGTGTTGACATTTCCTACATAGAGACTGAGCTGTGGTTTGCATTAAGAAGTTATGAAACAGGTTTGAAAAAGTGTACATTTTGGTTTACAACTTCTTAAATGTTGATTGGTATTATTCACCTTCAAGTGTCTATTTTCACATGCAGTTGACTTCTTAAAACTACTAACCAGGAGCTTGACTAGCCGGTGAGTTGAGCCCAGTTCTACGTGAACGAAGCACTACACATTGACTAATCTAAATCAACCATGACGCTTAAACACTGTTAAGTTCTTTTCAAATGTATTATTTTGACATTGACTTCAATAAGGAACTTCAATGAGCCTAAAGTACTCATGCCTTTTTTTCAAACCAGTGAAGGATATTCAAGGTTAGCATATATTTTTAGAGGCTAAACTTCATTATTTTTTTTTTCTTGGCTTTGTCATTTGGTGCGTGTGAAGCATGAAAAGTTCTGTACAATCAGAACGTGTAATAAGTGGTGAAAGAAAAAAAGGAGCGGGTTGTAAAGATGACTCTATGTGAACTAATCCTGCTACAGTACTCCTACTGCTACTTCTATGTATTTCATGAAAATGAATCCAAACAATTAAAAAAAAAAAAAAAGAAGAATCCTCTGAAGAGACATTCAGCGGTGAAAAACATCGGGCAGGGTGCGGGGGGGAGCTTGAACTCGTCATTCAGACCGAGCACATGATGAATTTGCAAAAATGAAATAACAAAGAAGAAGTTCGTCTGCCCGGCAAGAGCGTTTTCATCCCTTGTTGCTCAGGGTGCAAAGCCTGTTGGAGTCTTTTTGCTCAATGCCATCAGAAAGGAAACAAATTTGGAGCAAAATCTTCATCCACACAGTCTGCTATGTCCTCATCAACCTATTCTTGATCACGCTATTGGCGACAGTCTCAGTCTGAGTTCACATATGCTTAAAATCTCAGCTCAGCCACTGCATTTATCATGAAGAGTTTCAGACAGTGCATCTCTTGTTTCCCCCCCCAAAGGTTCACAGGAGGCCATCCTCCTCAACCTAACAGGTGTAGTCTTGATCCCAGCTCATCTATTGACACTATTAGCATGCATATCGCCTCTATATATGGCTGGTACACTCACAACCCCCCTTACCTGCCAATCAAACAACAATAATAATAATGAATAGAAATCCACTCAGGTTAGGCCAAAGCTAAGCTAGCCAAGCCAAGCCAAAGTCCTATGTCCATGTTGGTTTAACCCCTTCCTGCCACCACTTGCTTGCTGAAAAAAAAGGTAGATTCCGTATTTTTTTATAACTCTCTCCTCCAGCCTTAAGTAATCTTCTTTTATTCCTGGGGTAAAGGATTACAAGGGTCAGGTGAGAGCAATGGCAGACAAGAAGGATGGTTGTGTCGGTGGTTGTTTGTGGTAGTGACAAGGGAAACAGGAAGCGGGTCCTCTCAGGTCCTCACACGGACACTGGGCAGGTGATGACTTTGTCCTCCAGCATGACGCTGACCACCAGGAAGACGAAGTACAGCATGAACATGATGAAGCCCAGCAGCTTGCTCATGCGCCACTTGCAGGCGGCGATGGAGATGATGACAAAGAGGAGCATGAGGAAGAGGAGCACGATGGCACAGAAGAGGCCGTTGGAGCTGACTTGAACCGGCGCGAGGCCGCTGAAGAAGGACCAGAGGAGCCAGGGGAACGGCAGTCTGTGGATTCAGAGAGAACAAAGACATCATAATGTAATTAAAGGTGGAGTAGGCAGGATTCTGTTAAAGAAGCATCTTTTTATGAGGTGTATATACAAAAAAAGCTTTAAATATCAGTCAATAGCTATTAGTCATTGATGACATTTGGTAATATAACAATCTTGCTGTGTTCTGTTATGTCTGTGTTGTCAGCATTTTAAATTTTTGAGTAGCACCAGTGGCACCAATGCTTTTTACTTTCATGTTGACTGGTCCCCATTTGTAATTATCTCAAGTATTAATCTGCATTATATTTGAATTTAATTGAAACAATATGAGCGGGCAGGAGCGTCTGTTTGTGGGCGGGGCTTGCTGGAGCAGAGACGGAGTGCAGAGGAGGAACTGAGGGGAAAACTGGTTGGGAGGGGTAGAGTTTACGTTCAAGATTTCTCCCAAAAACTGGCACTTCCTCAGATCCTGCCTACCCCACTTTTAACCCAAACATTGCAGGATGACAGCGACACAAATACTGGAAAAAATAAACTTTAAGCTCTTTGGGATGTAGCCCTCTACTTGAATTATTCATAAACGCAAAACTGATTCTAAATTAAGCACCTGTGCCAAGTTGTTGTCATTATATTATACAAACAAAAATGTGTGATTAAAATAAAAGTATTTTTAAAAAACTTAACAAAATAGCAAAAATCACTAAGTTGGAGGCAGCTAAAAAAGGTTAGAAAAGTCTAATGACTCTTTTGTTTAGTTTTTCTTCTTCAGGGGCAGCTGTGGCTCAGCGGCAGAATCAGTCGACTCTCGATCGGAAGGTCAGCTGTCCACATGCCAAAGTGTCCTTGGGCAAGACACTTGACCCCAAACTGCCCCCGCTGGCTGCACTGCTGCCAGATTAGCTATAACTGCTGTGTGCCTTACGAATCAGCCTTTGCCACAAGCATATGTGATGTGAATGGGTGAATATCACGTGGAATGTTAAAATGCAGAGAGTGGCCAGAGGAGCAGAGAAAACTGTGTTAACATAGTCCATTTACCATTCTTTTAACCTCTTTCATATTTATGAACAGAACAGCCAATCGTTGTGTAATAGCCCTTATGATATGGAAAAAATGAAAATATTTTTAGTTTAATTTTTTTCAGTACACTTGTACTTGGGGGCTCTGGATGATTCACTTGTTGTTATGAGGATGCCTCCACAGAAATGTATCAACTGGGAATCGGTTACTGAAACAAAACCAGATGAAACTCGCTGTTTGAAGAATCACCTTGAAGCACAGAAATGCTGCAACATGTGTACAGCATGTGTCAACAGAAACACCATCACTATATCTAGACTGATCCAAACTGCTTATGGCAATAGCAGGAAATCATTTATCACCAAAGCGTATAGATAAGCCTGCGTTGATCAATCGCATCCTACCCGACAGTGATGTCAAATATGTTGGAGCCGACGGAGCTGGATACAGCCATATCCCCCAGACCCTTGCGTGCCACGATAACACTGGTGATGAGGTCAGGGATGGAGGTTCCAGCTGCTAATATAGTCAGGCCCATAATCTCCTCTGTAATCCCGATGGTGTCTCCAACCTGAAAAAAAGGAGGAAAAAAAAAAGAAAAAAGGAAACTAAGCTTATGGGTAAATAAAAAAAAAGAAAACCCTAATCTTTTGTTCGGGTTTTTTTAATTTCCTCGTGATGCTAGGAGGTGACAGAGGAGAAAAGCTGTCTGCTCAAAAATTTACAAGACACCATTATGAGAGTGATTATTGTTCTGTTTTATTTATGACTGGGATTATAGAATATGGTTTATTCACAACATTTATGCTTGTGCAAGCTTTTTATAAAGTGCTCAGACTTATGGAAGGAATCCTATATTTGAGTACCTGGTGAGCCCACCACACCATTAGATAGGAGAAGCCTGCAATCCAGCCAATAGCACCCAGGAAGGTGATGGGGAAGAATTTCTTTGCAGACTGGAAAAACAGAAGGAGAGAAAAAGAAGATAAAGATGAAAAAAACAAAAACAGATTCTACAAATATCAAGAAAAAGTTTGTCTCACATACCGCTTTCCTGACATCAGGCAACGTCAGCCACAGGGGGAGGACGATGGGAATGATTAAGAGGTAGGTAAAGCGCTTGCGGGCGGACTCGGGCCAGGACAGGCTCAGAGGCTGGTCCTCCTCCTCCTCATCCTCCGCCTGAGGAGACACCAGAGAACATTTGCAAAAGAGTAAAGTTAGTCAGATTGAGCACTTTCTTGATTTTTCAGCACCTCATGAGGATCTCATGTTTAGGTTTCCACTATAGACTAAGACACTCTGTGAGTTGGTGCGTCTCAAAGTTCATCCATGTATCCTTCGCTTGGGCTTTTTCCTTGTGCATGCATGAAAAGATGAAGGAAATGAAGCGTGCGTAAATGCAACAAGGACATATGTTTAAAAAGACATGGGGCATTCTTTTCCTCCACAGTGTCACATGAAGCAACATCCGATTGACGACAGCGTGAGCTCATCATTGCTGGATCCACCATCATGGCCTCAACATCTGTTTGTGTGTGCCATTACTGTTTTTATTCCAGCTCAAAATCGAAGACTCATTTTTTGTCCTTGGCTGTAAAAATGGACAATGTCAGGTGGGACCATTGGGTGTTCCTTGGTGCCAGTTTCAAGAGGACACTTAACAAACTTCAGTTTCTGCACCGCAGCATTGACTCAACTTTTCAACACAAGAGGTTGCTGCACCTATTATAATGCAGCGTAATCACTTGATGCTTAATGCACCATGTGGGAGTTGATACCAGGTAGGTAAACGTTGAGTCATGCCTTTTCCTCGTTCCTTAAGGGGAAAAATTCATTACAATCCAAGTGTCTTCTTCAGCTTGATAACTCATCTCATTGGGACACACCTCTCCATAGCAACTACCCAGAGAGACAGAAAGCACTCTTGCAGCAGCAGCACTTCAGAGGAAATAAAAAAGACAGCACCGAGGTCTGCAGAAAATGATGGCAGGACCTGGATGTGCACGTGCCTGCGCTCTGCTGTGACCTTAAGACAGAGGAGTTTGATGACTGTGATTTGGGAGATTGCAGCCAGGCCTGAAGGGCTCAGCCTCTCCAGTCATCAGGGGCTCATCACTGCTGACTGCTGACACTGCTGCACAGGGGCAGACCCCCCATGCCCCCTGGGGTCTGATTGGACCTGCCACTGGAATGCCAAGTGAACCAGGGAGTGTCACCTCTCTGCAGATCAGCATCAAATAAGCCAGTGCGTGGAGATGGCAGAAAGAATTTTCTTCTCATTTATGGCATAAACCTGCATTTCCTTTTTCTTTAAAAAAAAACAAAACAAAACATTGAAGTCTTTTGCTGCATTTGAGTTACCTTGAAAGTCAGAAATCGGAGTTGGAAAAAAGCAAAATCGGAGGCGCAAAGAAGATGGCTGCATTTTTGAAAGTTATTCTAGCTCTTGCCTTGTCCGAAGAGAAGCAAGGACAAGGCAAGCGCTAACATAACTTTTGTGGATGTAGCCATCTTGTTTCCGCCTCTGATTTCTCTTTTTTCCGACTTGGTAACTGAAACGCTGGTAAACCCGGTGTGAAGTCATTCCCAGCTTGGACATCTGACTTCGGAGATAACTCAAACACAGCATTAAGTAGAACAGCAACGGCAATAAAGCCTTCTGACTTATACAGGGTGCTTTGGAGCCGTAGGGACGTGCAGAGACAGGTCGACACAGGCAGATTTAAGCAGCACACACTGATGGCAAGAATTTGTATCTGGCACCTTTGAGAATGGGGTTTTCCGAAGTGTAAAAAAAAAAAAAAAGAGCTACAAGACAGTGAGAGACACACAAATTGGGTAAAAAAAACAACAGCAGGACAGATGTCGTCCTGTAAATATTGTTTTTCTCCAGAAGGACATACAAGTCCTTTCAGTATTATCCATCCCATCAGCCAATCATACTCAGAGGGAGAAGCAGGAATCTTCAAAGATTTCTTCTGCTCAAATCATGAATCATATGGAGCTTATCCTGCTGTGACAGCCGCCGCTGGTGAGGACTGCCTGGTAACCTTGGTAATCAGAGCTGCCAAACAAAAGGCAGCGCTTGCATCACTTATGCTCGGCATTCTGATTTCTCCTCCTCTTCACGGCCAGATGGCTGCATTGTTGTCTGTTAAAAGAGCTGAAAGCGAAAAACGTGAGGCTTTTCAGAGGATCATTTCTCAACCAAATCTACTTATCTTCATGGTAAAGATATGATTGTTTCGGTGTGTTACTCTGAACTGATTGAAGTGGCTGCAGGATAAAAATAGTAACACAAGCTTCTTCCATGTTCGAGAGCGAGAGAGATGTATTAAATGACATCACGGTTTGCCCTGCAGCTCTTTCATGGATATGCTGTTCCCGACTGACGCTGCACACTGTGAGTCTGTCATTATTCTATTAATGATTCCCTTTACCTGTTTTCTCTGCTGAAGTCCCCCTCAGAGCTGGGGCTTCCCAACTCTGTCTGTGTTGGTTTCCAAATGCCAGACCCTTGGGGGCCCTTCCTGCCCTGTACGGTGCCTCAGTTGGCACCGCTGCCAACTCAGAGCTTAAAGGCACTGACTTTTACTAGACAACACAGAGCTGCAAGGGGAGGCATGACATTTGCCATTTTTTAACTGCCCAGAGGGGAGCGTGTGCACTGACACCTGGTGTGTGGCAACGCTTTTGATTCTTATAATCGCACAAAGCACATACTGCATCTGCACGAGTCTGTATAAGCCTGAGGTAGTCCCGTCGTGTTGTTGATTTGACTTCAAAGGTGGGGTAGGCAGGATTCCGTTAAAGAAGCATAATTTTTTTGTGGTGTTCATACAAAAAAGCTTTTAATATCAGTCAATAGCTGTTAGTTATCAATGACATTTGGGAATATAAGGATATCACTGTGTTTTGTTATGAAGTTACACGGCCAATGGAAGAAGTGTCAGCTGTTTAAAATCAGAGCCAAAGATACCCAAAATGGTATTGCTTCTATGAAATCTAATCTCAGTTCTCAAGAGTTTCAACATCAGAAAACAGTCGAAAGATATAGACAGAAGAGTGCTGCAGGTTTTAATTTGACCTCAACTTTAACTTTCCTCCACCATCTTTGTTGCCAAGGCATCCAAGAGGGAAGAAAATATCAGTATGACGGGGCCTCGGGCATCATATGGAGGTGTGAGTTGTTTCCAGCGACTTCCTGGCTGACAAAGACAGGTGCACTGTGGGACAGATCGCTATATATAGCTGCAAATGAGACTCTGGCATGCCAATAAGAGGCCAGCTCTTCCAAATTCAGTGAATCACCACCTGGAAAAAGGTTTCATGTTACTTTTTTATCATGTTTTCTGCCCCTCACCTTAAAAAAGTTAAGATCTGAAGGAAGTCTAAAAATTGTCTAAAGTAGGTTGTGCTGCCTCTCGTTTTTTTGGAAATGAGTATTTTCAGCCTCAGTACAGACAGTAAGACTATTATTACACCAAAGAGTGAGAGATCAATCCGAAAACAAGTTGGTGCAGTAAAATAGATCAATACACACATGGTCATGTTGGGAAGCAGGGCTCGTCTTTTCTTGTGCGTCTATTCTGAGAACCTTCTGTATGCTCTCCTGCATCAGTCCGTATTTATAGATACTGCATCATACCTGAGAGGCATGCTGAATGTCAAAGTGCTGCAGTGGCTATTTTTTTAAGGGGGCGAAAGATTGAACTTTAAAAGTACTACTCGGTTCCTACAAGTCATAACAATAAAGCTGTGCTTTTTTAGAGATACGGCTGGGATTTAAGGGGGGGGATACAAATTTGCTGAAGGGGTTTAAAAGACAAGTACTTCAGTGGTTTTTTATGTGGTTTCAGTGACAGGGATTATATGTAACCAGGTGTTTTTTATTTTATTTTAAACATACTGCAAAGAGTTGTTAAACTTGTTAAACTGAGTTGTTAAACTCCAAGATCAGGTTCAAAGTGCATCCTCTGGCTCCGAGAGCCACAGTCCCACTTTGTGTTATTTTTGGTCATACTCATGAAACTCGTGGCCCTCACACTCGTCTCCTGGGCCTGTTCCCTTTAAAGTTTGAAACTCTGACTCCCTGCCCTCTTGCCTCAGGACCGTCTGCTGGCCCGGCAGGTCGCTGCGCCCCGCTGTTATCACTCATGCCAGCACGACTGCTGCAGGTGCCGTTCTGAGGCTCTGCGCCTGGCTGTGTGTCAAGACCGTGTATGTGTTTACGTGTGTGTGTTGCGGCACGTGTGCCAGCGTGTCGGTTTCCAGCGCCCAGCAGTGGGCAGCAGCAGGCGAGTGAGGAGTGTGATTACAGAGCTCGGTGGGAGGAGGCGGGTCTTTGACAGGTCTGGCGGAAGATGGAGGAACTCACTCGAGTGCATGCTGGGAAATTATCAGCAGCAGTGACCGATGCCATAACCAGGGCATCCTCTGCATTACTCACACTCAAGGTGGAACACGGACACAGATGAAAATCGGAAAACAACAAAAACATCTTTGAATTGGGTTTCCATCTCCCGACTTTACAGCAATTCATCTCTTATCTCGGTTTGTTGATCAAAACTTTTTAGTGTTTTTTTTTTTTGAGTCATGTTGTTTCTTACCGTTTCCCCTTCTTGCCCAGCCGTTCCGTTCATGGGTGGCGTCACTTCCACTTCAACACTTGAGCTGTTTGGGAGGTTCTTGTCTGTTGGGATGAATGAGGAAATAAACCAGGAGGTGTTGTTTTGAGACTACGATGATAATGTTTGGTTTTTAAATGTCATACAGGTTAAAAAAGGATAGGGCTTTTTTTCAAATGTGATGATTAACATGTGCTGCTGATTCAAATACATCCTAGCAGAATTAAACAGGCATGTGTACGTCTGTTACTATCATCCGTCTCCCTCATCATCACCCGGTGGCTTATATGACTTCATTCCATCTGAGGCCAGACTTACTTAACAGGCCTTATTAAAATCCAAAGAGCCGAAAGCCATGTAATCAGATGATAAAACCATAATTGCCATGGAAATTGCTTTAATCCAAGTGTGGTTGTGGCAATTAGAAGGATCCACAGATAGATAATGTGACTTGATATCGCCATCGTCCAACATGTGACCTCGCTCTGTGGCGGCTTGGATTCTGCGATAGTACAATCTTATCACCTCGATGAAACATTCGCTCAACTTTATTGGCGGTAAATCTTTCAGCGTGAACACCGCAGGCTAAACCTGAGCTCTCTGTGGGCTTGACAGGCAAAGCATGCTGGGCTGCCTACCAGTCATGCATTTTGATTAAGATGCTAATACGTTAATGTGGTGCTGTTAGCATAATTTCACCCCGTTGATAAACATCTCTGCCAGTCTTTGATTCTGCTGCTCCGACTCTATAAAGGCCGTGAAAGCTTTTCCTTTGGCCTCCTGTTTATCCTTTGGTCCAGCGCTCTTTGAAGTGAACACACACATAAATTACACTTGGCAGTGACTTGGATTGATTTAAATAGCGCTTGAGGACAACACTTGCAATCAATTTGACAGATCTTGATAATGTCATGCTTGTTTACCATCAGATTTGACGCTCATTGGCTCTTTCAGTTGGCACTACTAACGATTACCGGAACAAGTATTCGGCTAAAGTGCGCCTTTATTGAGAAATTTTAGAAACAGCAAACTGAATCACTGCATCACACTGAGATTTTTACCTGAACGGCTAGCCACTCCATTGGCCTTCTCGCTGTCCTCCACCTGGCATTTCTTTTTAGCAATCTTGTGAAGGATGGACGCCTTCTCTCGGAATTTACCTGCAAGAGAGTCGCCGCACAGGTTAAACACAGCGCACACACTCTTGAATGCCTCCCGGTCTCATCCCAGTCAGAGCTCCTTCATCGTCACCTTTGACCTCAGATGGGTCGCATTTCCAAAGCACACGGGGCGTTGGCTTAAACTGCAGTTTAAACAACATTGAGAGTCAATATGACATAGCATATCATATACTGATGATCCTGCAATGTCCTGGTCCTTGGAGGCAAAGCCAGCAGCGGGAGAATCTCTTGTGAAGAGATCTGCCTCCTGAGGGTCAGACTGACTCCTGCTCTCACTCGATTCTCATATACTCACAAGAGATGTCAGAGGTCGGGGACTAAAAGCAACTTAAGTTTGAGCTGGGGAAAGCATCATAGAAACTGAAAAATAATAAATGTTAAGTTCTGAGACATGATATTGAAATATTTGAACAAAAGCACTCATGTAGGATCACTTTTGCCTCCCATGTTCAGCAATGCTTGCTTTGTTTGCACAGCAGCTGTGTGCAAGGACAGCAAAATAAAAGAAACACTGTAAGAGACATCTGTTAATTAGAGTGTTTAATCGATAGATTTAGTTGTGATGAGCGTTTTTTTTTCCTGATAACATTTATTGAATCAATACCTCGTACTGCTAATGTCTTTCTATGACGCAACGGCTAGATTGAAATTACTCGTCAATTGGACGACATGACCTTGTCGTTTATATAAGCAGCACGGCCTCTTGACGTTACAAATGCAGCAACACGCGAGCCAGCTCTGCTCATGTTATGATGGCTGCTGCTGGTTTGGGGGACAATGATCCTTTTACAACACACATATACAATAATATAACAATCAGACATTGCAGACATTGGGACAACAAGTAAACAAAAGTCCTGTAGTTTGGGTGTTTTGTCTCCACGTAGATTTGAGTATTTGCTGGCTATGCAGGTTTGGGATGTTAACGTGAGTCCTGAGAAATCTCTACCTTGCAAAACCTTCTGCGTCGTTAACCTCTGTGCCGTCATGTATCCATATTTAATTTCACTGACTTCCTGTGCGTGTCAGGTTTTGCATGCGTGTCCTGCCTCCTCACGACCAGCCCACTACAATCAATGGGAAAGATTTTTTTGTTTTCATTTTGAGAGCGCACAGCTGATTTGTCAGTGCTTGACACAGTGACGTGTCGATACGTACTCCACCCGACCATGTCAAAACTGTCTGCGACCTTCCGGCAAAATCATTAACCACCCTGAGTCACTGCCGGCCTTCCCCCTGTCTCCTCTATCTGGCTAGCATTTTTCTTCCTCGCTCCGGTTTCTCCCACTCATCTGTCATTGGGAAACAATCTCTTCCTATCATTTGGCTTTTTTGTGGCAAGGTATATATAAGCTCCTTCCCTCCCCCACCTGTTCTCCTTTCCAGACATGCACACAAGCACATACACACACAAGCACTGGACATCACTCACCTTGGGTGGCCATTGTTAATAGGTCATGTATGATAGGGAGTGTGTACCTGCGTATGTTTGGTTATAAAATGTGGGTGTGATATCATTGTCTGTGCGTGGTTAAACAGGTAGAAGGGCTGGGCTCTCCGCTTCAGGTAATCAAAGGAATTTCTTCAATGTTAAGAAAACAACTCTCAAGTTGTAAAAATATGTCCACAAAAGATCTTCAACGGCAGAGCAAATGGCACTTAAAGAGCGGAGAAGCAAGAGATTAAACATTTCAGGCTAGCTGGTAAACTACATTTCTAGAATCTCTTTCTATATGTGGTTAGTCACTTTCTCAAATTCTGCCTGGTCTCTTCGTTTAAAAGTATTAATTGCTCTTAAAAATATGCAGGGTGACTCTTCAAACCTCTGTAGCCTGATTTATCAGCCTGTTTTCTCATTCTTGTATCAAAATCAATGAAATATGGTGAAATGAAAAAGGTTAAATCACACGCTTTCTTTTTCTTGATCTGGGTCGCCTTATATAAGCAAACAAACTTAAAGCTCCTCTGACCACTTTTTTTCATGTATGTGAAATGGACTGAAATTCACAATGATGCCTTTTCATGATATCCAAACGCAAACAAGACCATCAGGGACAGGATTGACTATCGGCATATTATCGTTTTCAAAGCCTGTAACCAGTGCAAGGGGGTAGGTGTCAACTGACCGGTCAATGAAACAGCCCTGTTTGTACAATTTCTATATAGATATTGATACTTGTTGATAACTTTGGCTGTCAAAATTAAGCAGGATGGGATTTTCTGTCATAAGACACAGCTTAAGCATTAAGCAGACATAGACTGCTTTGTCCACAGGGGGCGCCAAAATTGGCACAAACTGATTGTCCACTGCAGGAGCTTTAAATTCTAAGATGTCATTTTTATCAACAACAGCTTTAAAATAGGAAATGGACCTATTTTTCAGGCTACCTCTATATGATACATCTTACTTGTTTAGATTCTAAACTAATATCAAAGTTAGACACATGTATACAGCTACAGTACTTTGCCCTTACAGTATGGTTTATTTTTATGCTTTAGCTCTGATAGTAAACAAAAGCAAAAACTCACACTTCCTTTAAGTGTGAATCAAAACAAAGGCAAAGAAAGACAACGCTTGGGTTTGACTAGAGCTTTAACATTCAAACCGAAGCAAGATCAAGGATTTCTTGATGCTGCTGGCGTCTTTCAGTCTCTGCAGTGAAGAAAATATGTTTCCTGGGAGGTCCATTTGAGGTGAGCACATATTTAGAATCGCTCAATTTGCATAATGATGAAGCAGTTGGCGAGTCTTTAAGAATAAGCCCTTCCTTTGCTGCCATTACACAGCCGTTGATTTTCCCTGTCAGCTCTGCCTGTTACACAACCACTGGGTGGATGAGTCACCCCCGGTTTGCCGAATTCAGCAACGTACGTCTTACATTTGTGCACCCGCTGCTGGTGCAAGTGGAACCTCCGAGAGAGCACTGAGGCATAAATGATGTATTTCTCAGAGATGTGGATGGGGTAACAGGGCTGAAGAAGGAGAAAAGAAAAGGAGGAAGAAAAGGAAGTCCTTGTGCCTTGTGTTTTGGGAGTGTGAAGCATGGGATGGTTTTCTGTACATTTGTGTGTAATTTTTCCTGCCTGAGTAGTAACAGTTTAGAAATGTCTTAAAAATTTGACAAGGAATCCAAAGAAGAAGAAGAAGAAGAAGAAGAAGAAGAAGCAGTGGCTGTTTCATTAAATCAAACATGCTGAACTTTTCTGTTATTGTTTTTTAAAAAGATATCTTGTTAATAAATTGAATCAAATTTCAACACACAGTAACACACAATATGTATGAACATTTTCTGGGCAAACAAAAAGGAAAATGATCCAAACGTAAAAATGCGAGAAGTAAAAAAAAGGAAAATGGCATGACGACAATGATTTGCACTTATTTCAGTGAAATCTCCGAGGTCATCGAACTTAAAAGCCAAAATAGTGCAAAACAAAAGTCACAAGCTTACAAAAATAATGCGTCCGGAGCAGCTTTATGACAACGATGGAGTAAGAAACCAAGAGGGATGACAGAAGCGAATCAAGTGAAAACTTTCGGGCTTACCTTCCTCAGTCATTGAGTGATAATATTTTAGTTTCCCATAAGTCCCAAGCTCTACAACATCACAGCAAAAGACAAGGGTAAGGCAACAAACACACAGAGAAAAGGAAAAGAGTGAACATGACAGAACAACACAGGTCCGCTGGTTCTACATCACACACAGGCACAAGGAGTAACATACAGAAACAAAGTGTCTGCCAGTTATCACTGCATAAGAGCAAAACAAAGTGGACAGGTTGAAATTCAGATTAGGATTCATGATGGAATTACAGTCCCCTGGTCTGATAAGGGGCCTGCCACTTACACAGGTTAGGGAAGAAGATTTGCGAGAAAAGGAGGAAGGGAAAGGGCATTTGAGATACTAGAGAAATAAAAAAGAAGTTCATACAATGATCTATTTCAAAACAAACAGAACAGGAAAGTCAGAAGAGAATTTACTGGGTCAACATGCAACAAAAAGATGAGTCCTCCTCTCCTCTACACGCAAGCTGATTCACAGGCCTGATGATACCGCATTTTATTTCCACAACGAAAACCCAAACAATTAATTTGATTCCCTTACTGAAGCAGTTCTCTGTGTTACAGTAAGTAGAAAGTCAGCACATCCGCGTGATGAATTAGCCAGGAATCCAAACCCGCAGCAACAGCTGAGCGTTGAAGCAGCAGAAAAGGAGACACCGGACTACAAGTTCTATTTCTTATGCTGGACTTTAACGGCAGCTCCCACCTCACAGCTGTGAGCAATGTGCTCTCTCCTGTGTTTTTCCACATCCACTTTTTTTCTGGCACGGAGCTTGTTGAGTTGCCACAAATAAAAAATCGATTAAAAGCACTGCTGGTTGAAGTCATATATTATGTCAACATCCACTTTGAAGACAGTACTCTCCAAAACATAATGCTGTCTTTCTTTTAGGCTTGACTCGCTAAAGAAAAAAGTGATTCCACTGAACAGATTTATCATTATCATTGGTACAATAGACTGTAAGTCTTTAAGGATATGTGCAAACGCCATACAAACCCTTCCCTCGATCACCACAATTCACATTCAAATGTTTTTTTAACAGTCTTTCCTTTCACTATACGATGGCGACTGTATGTATCTGGCCATGTATAGACTGTGACTCTTCGAGGATAACTCACATTATACAAGTTATTTATTTATAAAATAAAGGGCTCATATTGATTGTCAAACACAACCCTGACAATGTAACTAAGTTCCTTCTAGGGCTGGGCGATATGGCCTCAAATCAATATCACGAGATATTGAGCAGTTTACCTCAATAACGATAAATGGACGATATCTACTCCACAAGCTGCTAAACCCCTCCCACATTAACTTTGTCTACTTCATCCACCGCTTCAGCTACAACTTTTGAACCGTCCTCCATCTCCTCACCTGTCTTTCCCTCTTTGATGGGGTGGAGTCACGTCTCCCACAAAGGACAGTGTCTTAAAGGGTCATGAGATCATAGCCTACCTACACACATCCAAAAACAACTTTTATCAATTTATCTTTTTGACACCGTATATACCGATATGGGCAAAATGATGTTGATTATTGTCGTAAATTTCGGTATCAGCAAATTTTCGGTTTATCGCCCAGCCCTTATTCCTTCTCAAAGTCCCCAGAGACAGAAGTTTAAGCCAGAGAATTCAACATTGACGACAAAAATAAAGTCCAAGTATCGCCAAAAGTAGAATTGGATGACATTAGGTTGCACAAGTGGTCATATTGTTTGGCTACTCAGTGTTTATCTATGAGTGTTTAAGTTGTCCACACCACGCTGCGTGTCCCTAAAGTGCTTTCAGATGCGGTTTATTTCAGGGAGGTGAAATCAGGAAAAAACACCCTGGTGTTACAGACTCGTCTCATGGTTCTGCTTGACTGTGAGAGAGCACACTGTCAGCCGACCAAAATTTCTGGCATGCAAGAAACCATCCAACTGGTTGAGATCAGGCCGTGATCAGCCCTCGTGTTTCTGCACACCGCACGGCTAATGATGCAAGATCGAGATGAAATCCTGGCTTAAAATCACGCCAGAAACGACAACAATTCTCACAGTGTGCTCAGTCAGAAAGTTTTCATGTAGATATCCGTGTCAGGAAATATTCAGTACTAAATCATGTTCAAAAAGTTTTTCTCCTTTTGCTCACCACAACACATGACCACAGACCTTTTAACCTTTGTTCCTCTTTGTCTACTCTTATTTAATAAAGACTAAAATAAAAAAAAGAGAAAAATTTTAACATATATTTTGATATTTGGCCAAACTGACCAATCACTTCTCCTCAAAAGTGCATAAATCGAGCCACATGCACTCACACCAATATAAAACTCCACCAGGCAACCAACAGTGGGCGACCACTCTACTCACATGTGAGAGGATTACTGTGCGAACCTTGTGCCAAATGTGGGGCTTGGACGCCATGAAAACACCATCTAATGAGATGAAAACACATCCCACTGCAGTATTTTTCCCTCATCTGCTGCACTCCCAGACAAGTGCCCCAATCCCATATGATTAGGCGATTTAGGTTTGAAGTGCACGATCGCTGTAAGGCCCGCCTCTAACTGAGGATTCTCTGAGGGCAATTAACCCCACGCACAATCACTGCCCGAGCTGTTCTCTGTCATTGTGCCCTCTGCGACCGGAGTGAGAGCCGGGCATGTTGTTGTTTACCAGGGGCTCTCTTGTCCTTGTTGTGTGACCTCTAAGCCTCTGGTGAGCCGTTTGCAAGAGAGTGTGTGTGTGTGTGGGTGTGTATGTGTGTGTGTGTGCATACCCGCCCTGTCTACTGGGGGTTGGAGTGTCGGGGAAAACTCAGTCTGTGCTGAAGCAAAAAGGCTTTTAACATTGATTCTTTCACCCATCCGGCACAGGGGCCAGAGATGGGAGGTCGGGGAGGGCGAAGGGTGTTTGTGTTCATCTCTATGTGTGTGTGCGTGTGTGTGAATTGTGTGGTTGGAAAGATGATGGGGTAATAGGTGCGGGTTTGCTAGTCACAGTTACATAACATACTGGAGGTGCGATTTTCTATCAAAATAAATAAAGGGGAGTTTGACAGCTTGATAGGAGTTGTTGACTGTTTCTATTTAAATACATTAAGAGGAGGTATTGGACGGATGCACTTATTCACCAGTCTTATCCTGTGAAGATAAGAATAGTAAAGGCAGTAAGTACATTTCCCATTCCTCTTCTTTAACTTTGCAGCTGGAAAAATAGGAGTTTAGCTCAGCGAAACTCAAAGACAGGAAACAAAACGATCCAGCTCACCTGGCACTATCACAAAGGTCACAGATATTACAGCTGTTTTTATTTGTTCACAATGTTGATGCTTTATTTTTGTTCAATCCACAGCAAAATTAAAGTAAGAAAAGTGTTTAAATGTCATAAGACATGCGTCAAAGTGTCCGTGTATTAAATCTGCATAAATGGAAAATATGTTTCCGTTGCACGAGGATTGGGAGGTCAGTGACAGTTGGAGCGTTATTGAACCGGTAGATCAATCGGGCTGTGGGCCAGCACACAACTGGTGGGGGGTAAACTGGAAATGTTAGGTGGTGAATGTATTTATCGTCTAAAATTATATAAAGTGAAATCCCAGAAAATTAGCACTTCTGTTGCGACGACCATTAATTTTTAATCTAAGTCATTTTTTTAATCCTATATGAGCATGAACACCCTCTCGCGGACTTTGATGCCCTTTGGCTGATTTCCTTCCGTGCTTCCATCGACACCTTCCCATGAAACACTGGACCATGTCCTCCTTTATCTCACCAGTTCACCCAACAAGCGCATTGTCTGCCAACATGGCCGTTTTATGGTTTACCCGAATAACCTTGTCCTCTTTATGCTCGGTCTGCAGAGGACTTCGCTGCGACGTCTGCTCAATAAAAATCAAAGCCGTCCAAGGCCGCTCTGGCATTGAGAGCCATCTTTCTAGTATATCTCAGCGAGATAATGATCTGCAGGAAGGCATCTGATGAGATTGCGGTTTGTGCTGCTTTATTTTTAGCATCATTAAACTTTAACAGAGCAGTTATGTAAAGATTAGAGCTGTTTACCCCAAAATATAAGGCTCTGGTTCAGTGCAGTGAAAATGTGGCGAGTTTATACATTTTCTAAGAATAGATAATAACACCCATATTCTTCCACACCTAGCTCAGCCACGTATATGCAGAACATGCACGGTATATGCACAGACTCAGCACCAGAGTTCACATCTCACAGTAATAAATCTTACTGAAGGACTTAAGCACGCAGCCTGAGTTGGGAGTGCTGTTTTGGGAGGCTTGTTTCAGAGCCGAGAGCCACTCTGCTCTTCTCCCTCCCCGTCTCTCTCTGTAGTTCAATATTTGATGCCGCTCCTAAGTAATATTGTTTGTAGCACTGATGGAAAAAGAGATGCAGGCGCTTTTGCCAGAAATTTTCTGTATCAGACTGTCTCCTCCTATAAGCAAGACCTACAGAGATGAAGGTCTATCATTAAACTAAAGGACACTCAAAAAGGCCAGTAACACTATTGTTCTTCAGGATCATTAAACGCTTGAAGCAGGGCTGCAGCCAAAACCTCGTACTGACCCAGGACCAGCATTAGACTTTAACCTGGTTAACAGAGCTCTTTCTTTTGCTTGGTAAATTTCAGGGTGGAACAAGCCCTAAAATGATCTACCTTAGTAAAAGTACAATCACTTTAATGACATTTTACTAAAGCAGAGGTCAAACTAACATAAGTTAAAGTAAAAATGTTTTGAATTGTATTTGAAGGAGTAGTAAGATATATCTTCCCAAACTACTTTATGAAATATAACCACCAGCATTAAAGACCCACTCTAATGAAGATCACATTTTTCAGGCTGTGTTCACACTGCAGGTCAATTTTCAATCACATGTGACACATATCTGATTTTTTCATGTAAGTGTGAACAGTGCAATTCTGATTTTTTCAAATCTGACCCAGGCCTCTTTTGTATCTGGATATAAATCGGATATGTATCCGATGTGACTGCAGTGTGGACGCTCAGGTCGCGTTCATCCGATTTATACGTCATCAATATGCGTCAAATGTCACCATTGCTCGACAACACAAACAGGCGCGGAAAGCAATTTGTGCTTTGTGCGCATGCGGGTCACTTCGTGGACGCATTCCGTTCACATTAGATGCCGCATTCGCTGTTGTAACATGAACAACCGGAGCCCTGTGCTCCTTCAACAGGTCATAGCTCGCTGTGCAGACAAGTTTGTTATAACAAGTCAGAAGCTAGTACTGTACAGAGATAAAATGACGAAATCCTCTGGAAAAGAGTCTCAAAACAAACCTTTTCAGTCTGAAAAAATGATAATTGTTTGCACTGTCGGGTCAGTGTGTCTTAAACTAAGTCTAATCGGGTCTTTTAACTAGAAAGGAGACAAATTTACGAGGAAGGATTTGAGTTCAGATCAGCTTGCTGTCATGTAGATGATGGAAAAATTCGCTCAGAGCCACACAAAAATGTACAACACAATACTTCAGTAAAGATTTGAGTGATCATTGCATTGCAAAACTAATATCTAGTAAAAATCTAGGATTGTATTTGGGGGACAAAGCCTTGTGGATACCAATGCCGGAACCACTTTCCACATTTTCGAAATCTGGTTTTGGTTTTGTATCAACTCTGTAAACAACTGTGCACTGTATCAAAAAAAAGTCCAAAGCTCTCTTTCAAAGCAGGTGAACACCTGACATTTTCCTCCATCAGCTAAATCCTTATTCATGAACCAAGCACAACATGGTCAAAATGGATCAAAACCACATCTTCTTCCTACACCACTGACATATAGTACATTTCTAAATATCTGCAGAGTAAAGCACCTCCAAAAAGTTTGACAACACAGACAGTGAAAAACCCAAATCATCCGTTTTTGGGCTTCTATCCATCTCACAGAGTCATACCACAACTCTACATCTAAAGGGAGTTCCTAAGAGGAGAGAGAGGATTAGGGACAATGGGGGAAAACAATACAGAAAATGGTCACAGAGGGTTTCCAGGAAGAATACATCCACAGAGGAGAATGATATTTCAGAAGGAGAGAGTCTGCAAGGATGGACAGTAAAGAGTTGACATACAGCACAGCATATGGCGGCGCTTGGGATGTATACATAGGGGACACGTCGGGCAAGAGAGTTGCCTCTAGGCTGTTGAAATGAGAACAAACATCTATTGCTTAGGAGGGGGGATACAGAAATTAGAGGTGTAACTCACCAGAGTCAGCAAATTCTGAGGGGACAGTAGAAGAAAGAGAAATAGGAAGACAGAAACAGAAAACAGATAAATCCAGATGATATTTTCTGTGTTTGTTTTCATTAAACCATGAATAGTTTTTCTTAGATGAGAGTGAGCAGCCCATCATGTCGTGTGAATATTTTTATGCGAACCTTAGGGGACTTAATGAATCTCCCTTTAGTTGTTTTATGGTCAAACTAAAATGATCAACTTCAGTCGCTGTTGAGCACAACACTAATGTATATCTCGAAATATACGGTAGGTGTTAGGCGCCCTGACCCGGAAACTGTTTCATATGGAGCCATGATGTCATCACTTAACAACCAGGTAGCTCTGCGTTGAGCAGACAGATATGATAATATGATGTGATAAATCTTCATATGTAACACTTTGCAAGACGGGGGAAAAAAAGAATATTTTCCATTAAGACAAACACTGACACACAGACACACACATTCTCAGTCATCCACATAAAACACATAGAGTTTCCTGCATAACCCTCGTCTGTTTTGTTTTATATTTTCTGTTGCATTAACTGCAACCCATCGTGTTTCTTTACATTTCATGAAATGCTGCCGAGAAAAATAGTCGTAGCAGGAAAAATACTCGCTTAAAATTGGTCTGGTTAGCCACAATATTCATTGAATACTGTAGAAGTAAGGCAGCAAATAGAAGTGAAGAGTTAAAGCCAGGAAAAAACATAAAAACACACAGCCACAGCCACACAGGTCTAGCTATCCCCACCCTAAAAGTCGACGGTGAACTCGTTCCAGCACTAGCAACGCTACATCAGACTTTCCTTCAACTTGGAAGCAGGCTTTATTTTAAGAAACGTCCATGAAAAATGTATGGATGGAGTCCTGCCAACTCTCCCACGGCCCAGCTGAGCTACACTTAAAGCATGAGAGCACACAAGGACAAGCAGCATGTCTGCCGGGTGCTCCCTGTTGTCTCTCTCCACCAGCAAAAAATGCTCCTTTGCATTAACTGTATCGGTAAACATGCACAGACGCAGGCCACTCATCTCAAAAAAGGTCTGACTTTTATTGGAGCGTCATGGTGATGGATCAATGAGAATATCTAACCCACCTAACAAATGAGGCACATGATGAGTCTGCTTTAAAACTGACTTATATCACTGTACATGTTCACCCAACTGTGAGAATCTTCCAACATGGTACTTGGAAGGTAAAAGTGTTTCTTGTGCTCTTTGTGGTAATTCATTCAATCCTTGTATCACACTGTAGTTGTTGTATCAGTGCATCTATTTCCAAACACTTTTCTTGCCAAGACTCATTGGTCAAATCTTGTGAAACATCCACACATTTCTGCTGCATTCATAATAATAACAAAGCAGAATTTTCTTGTTTGAGCATTCAAAGCCCATCATTGAGAAACATCACATCACATTTTAAGTGAATTTTACATTTTTTTAAAAACTTTTTGGGGAGTTATTTCGTGCGGTGGCCGAGAACCGCCACGTCTGCAAATGAAAAAGAATGCAAAAAAAAAAAAAAAGAAGCCATAACGGAAGTTACCGATGCAAAAAAAAAAAAAGAAAATGAAACCGAAGCCCGCTGCAAATAAAAAACGAAATGCTACGGATACATTTTTTAAAAAGCCGCAACGGAAGTGGCAATGCAAAAAAAAGAAAAAGTTACCTACTGCAAAAATAAAAATATAAAAAAAATTAAAAAGCCTAAACAGAAGTAGTGAGCTGCTGGGTACCAATAATGATGATGCATCGGAGTTTTACGATCTAGCCACAGAAGACAACAGCGAGAAGACAAGCAAAGAAGTAAGTGGAAAGGTTATTGTTTCATTTTGCTTCATGTGCTTTTTAATGTGTCATTTGATTAGGCCATGTTATGCCTGATTCAATATGAAGTTGAACTGGAAGATGCCAGTGTAGTGTTAGCTTTGGCAAACACTGGAACCCCACTACGCCCCGAAAGACCACCCACAAGAGGAGAATTGAGTTCGGTAGCTTTACAGTTCGGTTGCTTCACTCAAAGAAATAAGTACACAGACCCCTCACTTTTTTTCATTATTGGTCCCCAGCTACTCACTTCCAATGTGGCTTTTTTTATTTGCATCCTTTTATTTTCCCATTAAGTAACTTTGCCACTTTTTTCGTGCGTCATTAACTTCTGTTGTGGCTTCATATTTTTGTGCATCCTTTTTTATTTGCAGCAGTGGCGTTTCTCGGCCACTGTAATTTTGGCCAAAATGCAAACGGCATTTCGTCCCCTGTATTTACAGTCTAGTTTATTGATCCAAAAAGAAGTAAACATTACAGTCTGGCATCATTAGTGCTTGTTATTAAGCCCTGGAGTAAACCAAATGACAAATAGATTGAACAGGGTTGGCAGGGTGGAGTGTATACAGTCTGGCCTGCATACAGCCTCCCGTTTCCTCTGCATGCCTTGATTTACGTTTTAATCACTGGAAAGGACAGATGAATACACTCACAGACGAGACGCCTTGGACTTGGTGTTCAACAACGACTTGATGCATGTTAATGGGCACTTTAAGGCCCGTCTCGGCCTAGCTTATTAATCTTCCCTGAGCTGACTCATTTTCGGTTTGGCTTTCAAGGAATGTACAGTCATTTCTGAGAAGGATGAAATGCCTCCTCGCTGCTGGACAGACCTCTGCTAATGAGATCACATCCAGTGAGAGGGGAAATATTTCATCCGGACATCGTTTCGTGCTTATAAATGGCTTCTTGACCTCCTCCTATGCTGTATTTCTTTCTGTTGTTATCCTGACACTGATGCTTTTTTGCTAAACCTTGAAGGGAAAAGAGTATTAAAACCAGGATTTAGTTTTAACATTTAATTTCAAACGTATTAGGATTCATCACTTTGGGAGATACCGCTCACAGAACCAATACATCAGACCTTTCAGTCCGGCTTATAAAAAAAGAAAGTGGTCTGATGACAATTTTTCAAACCCTCCTAAAACCCGTTTCCTGCCGGCTCTCCGTCAATGTGCATACTTTTTGTTCGTCTTTTGAGAATGAGATGACACCACACCTCCCCCCGGCGCATTAACATATTCATCCCCCTGTGCCGAGCACTGACACTGCCGTTTTACATTTCCTTTAGCTAAGCTAATAGGCCTTCATCTTGGATTAAAGGAAAATGATCTCCAACCTCAGCTGTGCTCTGACACGACACAGAGCTCACCTTGTCTGCTATGAAACTATTTTTAAAAAGGGATCAATCTGTCTGGTGTATAAGGGCTACAGATGCATTTCTATGATAACAGTGGAGACACTGAGCACATTAGATGGTGTAATTTTGCTTGGAAAACTGTTTTTTCTTTTTTTTTTTTAATTCTGACTAGACTGGATCAAGTCTTGAAAAATGGCGCCCTATGAATTCTTGTTGCTGGGATTTACACGTTTTTAATCATTTTAATAGAAGAAAAGGTTTGAGATTTGGACATTAAAGGTGAGATCAACCTGTAAAATGAACATTAGTGCAGTATATTCCTCCATTTAGAGACTTACTCAGGTGTTATCCACCAGTGAAGACGTGTCTTACCTTCACTTAACGGATCCAGCGTGTGAATCATCAGCTGAAAAATGCTGTTCCTCATCAGGCTGTTGTGCAGGGAGGCGGAGCTACCTCCCCTCTGAAGCCGAGGCCTGGCCTGTGAGAGGGGGAACAAAGTGTCAATCAAACATAACACTAGCTTCTTACTAAATACCTAACTTTGATCCAACAGTATTAGCATCTAACTATCAATTGCAAGCACCTCAATAGAGCCATTTCTAAGTTGTGTGGAGTACGATTCCCTAATCCTCTTTTGCATAACACCCTAAGAGGAACCTGCAACCAAGTAAAAATATCAGAAAAGGCTTTAGAGTTTTTAAAAATGTAAGCCGCCTGGGTGGAGACACGCTTTTACAGTTTTTGTCTTTCAAAACATTCCCTCGCCAAGGTCACTCCTGCAGCCGAAGCTGAATCGGAGAACTGTGGGAAATTAAGCACGGGTGCAGGCGGCAGCTGTTTGGAGTGTGTCCTCCCCCCCTTTGGCTGCCCACAGGTGATGCGTAGGCACAGGAGGTGTCAGGTGCTAATTCACAGGCCCATATGGGTGTGAGCGGGAGGCAAGGGAGACATGGAGACTGTCAGGGCTTGTGTAAGAGGTGGCTCCTCGCTGTGTGTGCACCGAAGATTCTCCGTCTGCTGGTGTTTTATCTTCTTCCTTTCGACTCTGGATGAAAACTAAACACTCAGCTGAGCTTTGAGGAAGTATAGAAGCATTAAAAGAGTCTACAGTTCTCTAAAGTCATGCGTCTTTGATTTTTGTTTGCATGCTGGGAACAGAAAAGACTCAGAAAACAGGCAGAGCTACTTTTTTTCAGACACAGAGAGGCTAAAGGTCAGAGAAAACAGTGTTCGTGTGTAGTTCACAGTATGGTTGGAGGAACACAAGTTTACGCTTCTACGTCTACACAGGAACGGGGGACGAACACAGAAGCAGACAAAGAAAAAGAAGAAGAAGAGTGTCAATCAGACAGGACCTACCGACAACTTGCCGTCATCCTCCATCGCCCCAGGACTCGCCTTCTCATCCAACACAAAGAGAAGAAGAAGTAAAAGTGGGGGAGAAAGAGAGAGGAAAAAAAACAGGACAAAGATGTGAAGCATGCCGCACACAACAACACAGACGAGATGAGAGAGACGATAGAGAGGACATTACAGCACAGTTACAGTGACGGTGATGACTGACTGTGATGGAAGTGGACAAGACTTGAGAGACAGATTCCTCCCCACTGCTGTGCTCGCCCATGTCAGTCCGATGCTGAGCAAGACGAGACTGTCTACTTGAGTGTCCTTGAAATATATTCAAAACTGTCTGAATGAGTTTTACTTATTTAAGTCAAGGATAAGAGTTATGATTGGTATATTATTTTAGGACACACTGTAAACAGCAGAATGATGTTGGTGAATTTGAATGAATTTAAAAGAGAGACGGTTGATGTGCAACAGAGCATATTTATTCCTATTGATTGATGCTTGGCTAGGGCTGGGCGATACGGCCTCAAATCAATATCAGGATATATTGAGCAGTTCACCTTGATTACGATAAATGGACGATAACTTCTGAACAAGCTGCTCACTCCCTCCCACATTAACTTTGTCTCCTTCAGCCGCTGCTCCAGCCACTATAACTTTTGAACCGTCCTCCATCTCCTCATCTGTCTTTCCCTCTTTGTTACGGACTGGATGGGATGGAGTCATGTCCTCGATGTAGGACAGTGTCTTAAAGGGACATGAGACCATAGCCTACCTACACACATCCAAAACCAACTTTAATTTATTAATGTTTTGACACTGAATAAACAGATATAATTTCGGTATCTATAAATATTCAGTTTATCGCCCAGCCCTATGCTTGCCCAACTTTTCCCTTTTCACTAGTTTTTATACAAAGCTAAGTGCCACTCTGCTGGATTTTTTTTTCTGAACCACATAAATATGAAATCACTCTTCTCACTGAATATTTAGAAAGAAACCAAATCACAAATTTGGATAATGTGTGATAATCTTGTCCTGATAGGGCTGGGCGATAAACCAAAATTTTACCGATACTGAAATTTATGACAATAACCAACATCATTTTGCCCATATCGGTATATTCAGTGTCAAATAAATTAATAAATAAAAGTTGTTTTTTGGATGTGTGTAAGTAGGCTATGGTCTCATGTCCCTTTAAGACGCTGTCCAACGTTGGAAGAGGGAAAGAGGGGAAGACAGGTGAGGAGATGGAGGAGGATTCAAAAGTTGTAGCAGCTGGAGTGACGAAGTCGATGTGGGAGGGGGTGAGCAGCTTTTGGAGTAGTTCTCGCCCATTTATCGTTATCGATGTGAACTGCTCAATATATTATGATATTGATTTGAGGCCATATTGCCCAGCCCTATATCCTAATGTAGAATAATTTTAGTTTCATTAGAATTACACAGTCCAGTGCTGTTTTGGGAAAGAGCAAGTCTCCTAACTACGGAAGCCTGAAGCAGACATACATCCATACATTTCATTTATCCTGTTCTCTCTAAGTAATTCTTAATTTAATCCATTTTCAAATGTACTCTCTCTGTAAACAGGACCCACTGTGAAGCTATTTAAGGTCCCAAACTTTGTCCTGCCGGTTTTAACGAGACAACTTTACTTCTGAGAGCGGCTCTGTGCCCGATCATGCCAAAGTAAATCCACTCTTTATACAATCACTCAGTTCTCTGCCATACATCACAGCAGGCCTATTTGGCATGTGCAGAGCTGCGACCGAGTCTATTTTTGAAACAAAAGCCTTTCACCAACTGACTGAACAGCGCTCACTTTATCTCCAAAAATCGAGTGTGCATGTGTGTGTGAAATAACAGTCACTCAGAGGCCTCTGTTTCTAGCTACAAGGGTACCAACACATTGCTTTTGTTCAGATCTCAGCATATCAGGACTGTTACACATGCCTTCACAGATTTTAGATGCTAAAATGGGGAATGTGGAGGGAATTTTTTTATTTGAGTTGATCTTGTAAGCGTTTTAAAATTCAGAGCAAACCTACGAGATTCAAACAAATTGTTTCATCTGCATGTTAAGTGGCCTTACATTGCAGTGAAAATCAATTAACTTGAATATTTTGAAGACTGGAGGAGATCGGCATGGACTTTGATAAAAGTTTGTTAGTGTAAGTCCCGATTAAACTAGAATCCTTTTGTCAATTTAAACAAATGAAGTCAAATCAAATTCAGTCACAACAGGAGAAATTTCACATAAGAGCTGGTTTCATCCTGTGAAAACTCCCCCACTGCAGTCACTGTGAACATCAGTGTCCCACTGTTTCTGTTTAACAGCTCATAATTTACCATACATTAGATTTGCCACTATAGCTGCTAAATAATTACAAAAAATGAAGGAACATTATCCAAAATTACAGTCAGAGAAGGAAAATTAATCCTGTGATTTTCCACTGAGTCACTCAACAATAACTTTGTTTTTCTCAGTTTCATATCTTCAGGGTGATTCCCTGCACACTCTGGCTGTAATCATTTTGTTTGCCACCCTATCCCCCTCCTCAAAGGGGAGCCAGGAGAGTGAGAAGCGAACAGGTGAATGTGCCAGATAGAGATTATGCCGTGGGTCGCTCATTAAGCCAGCGTTAAATATTATGACTAATAATCACATAGGGAGATTAGTATGTTCTCTGGAGTTTGTGCGTTCTCTAATACCGGCGGCTCTGCCTTCCTGCTCTTACGTAATGTCACATCAGGATCATTCTTGGAAGCGGATCAGCCAAGGGAGATAAATGTCCCTCTGCAGCCGCATGCATGTAACGTCGTGTTACGGAGAATTATCGATGAAGAGTGTGACATCATGCAGAAACACTTCCGCTTTCATCCCATAAATTGCCCACAGCTTAACGAGAGGGACTTTCGGGGGAATCAGCGTGCATTGGTGGGACGTAGGAAGCAGGGCTGAAAGTCTCAACTTTCGAAACATCAGAGGCGGAGGATTATGGGTCTTCTTATATGCAATCTTGAGTGTACAAAAGGGGGTCTATTTCTGGATGAGTTTGATTTGCATTCCCTTTATGCTCCAACATCCAAGCCACATTACACAAGGGAATAAAATCTTTTTTTCACACACTTTCTTGCTTGTACTTTCTTGAGGATTTTGATTAAATCCATCATAGCTGTGCTTGATCCTTCAAATCCTTTATATACTGCATAATATACCCTGAATATACAATGAGTTATGATAACAGCAATCAGCCTTACATTGTACAAATCTTTTCAGTCAGTATCCATTTTATTTCTGCTTAATTTCCTTTTCACTGAGGGAGAGTTTGCAGAGTCACAGAATATACTGAAGTCAAAGTGTAAATTCAAGTAGAGCCCGATGAAATAGTTTATAAGACTGTGTGCATGACAAGTTTTTCACTCAGCTGCAATGTTGTTTTTTGGACTTAAATAAAAAATTCTGCCATAAGGCTGACATCACTCCTACTTCTTGCTAATTTGTCAGTACCTTAGTACACACTATTGTTGTGATTTTGTGGGCTCAGCTTGCTGGATAGGGCGCTGCTAGATAGAGGTGCTGGAGCGGAGTCTGGAATGAACTGCTTGTATCAGAGTGCTGATATCCAAGATTTTAGATGCAGGCCGATATAATCCAAAATTCATTTTTTGCTGATATCGGACCGATATCCGATACTAATATCATATCGAGGGACACTCCTTGAGACAACATTAATGCATTAATGTTTGGGGTTTAACCTAAAATACAACGTCAAAAGTGAAAAGATACACACCGAGGCTAATTTCCAGGCTGAATGTTGCAGTATTTTTGCAATAAGATTGATATATCTTCACCCAACTGACTATCCAGCAAGGCTGTATCGTACACTGTATCTGTCTTCTGTTATATTATCTTAATTGTTGTGACATTAAGTCTTTTGTAACACTCATTTTTCAAAAGACAATCTTAGCACACCCTAAAAGTCCACAGTCTCTTTGTTTTCATTTACTGACCAGGGGTTGCAAATTAGCCATGACTAGTAACCTGCATTTGTATTCACTATAAAGTGATATCTCATGTATTTGTCCCTGTCAAGTAAACAAGTACACCAAGGAAAGAGGATACCCGAGTATATTTTCGGCCATCCATTTAATTCCTGAGCAGTGTTATATTTTTCTTCTTTCTTTTGTTTTTATTCTTTATCCATATCAGATGATATCAGATCTAACCTGATATGACAATGAAGCAACAAGATTAAACTTTTAACTCCACCCGAGCAGGCCCCTAACTGCGTATTTCACATTATTATGTGATAGAAAGAAATAATGAGTACGAGTCACAGATAAAGCCAGTTAAGTGTGATAAAAGATACAGTACAGTAGTCCTGGCCTTTTCTTCTTTTAAACCCTTGCGTATTTGAACTGTAGATAACTCTGAGGCAGCACAAAGCATCTGTAAGACTGTACGCATAAAGATGTGGGACAACCAGACAGCCCTGCTTGTTAAGCAAACTGGAAAAGTGAAATCTTGCACAGCTCCAGGCGTTCGCCTCCACGTGCTTACAGTCGGCAGCCTGTCTGTCAGAGCATGACAGAACACCCTTCGAGATTTGTCCATCTAGATCCATCGTGTTAAAGCTCAACTGTTGAGCAGCACAACTGAGCAGTCTCTTTCTTTCTCTCTCTCTCTCTTTTTCTCTCTCTCTTCCCCCCATTTTGCCTGGAGACGATAATGATGATCTTCAAGGAAAGGAGGGAAAAGATGCACAACAAGTCAAGAAGCCATCCACTTGCTAATTAGTAACCCCTTCATTTTTCTAACAAGCAGAACTAATTACAGGATCTGCCACAACGCTGATTTCCCACAAGGCAACGCTCACCAGGACTAAGCCAAAATTGCTTCCTCTTACCCCCGCCCCCCCCTCCCATGAACCAATCAGACTAAAGCTTTTGGGAGACAAAAACTGCTGTGTCATTTTTTTGTTTTGAAGGTGAATGTAATCATGCAAAGATGAGTTTGATCAGGAACAGTTCAGCCCTCCATGAGCTTATCAGGTTTCTTGTCGAACAGGTAACTAGTGCCAAAAAATACTCACATCTACGGAACATTAAATTTAGATTGTGCTTTGTAATTCTTTCCCCCGCATGCCCTCCTGCATGCCCGGACAGATTTCTAGTTTGTCGTTTCAGTCAGATCAGAGCAGGTTTTGATCTGCAGATGCATTTAACAATTAAAGGCAGAACGCTCTTCTTTGTTCCTGAGATTGTAGCAGACAAACAAAGGTTCATTCCAGGAGTCTTGTTATTATTCTGTACCCTGTCCGCTGTGCTCCTGCTGCAGAACTCTCTGGCCCAGATTTTTCAGCTGCCCTTTCCTGTTTACCTGCGTGGCTTTTGAGTTATTTCTTGTCTTTTGTTTGTACTGAGCTGGGCTGTATCGCACTCGTCCTGCTGCCTTTCTCAGTCCCTGATGCTGAGGAAAGCTTCATAGAGAAGCAGTTCCCAAAAGAGGCAACTAGTCCGGGCTCAATTGCTGACAGTGGCCCAACTCCAGCTGCCCCGAGGCACCTGGGCAATGCCGCTTTTTTCCAGGTACTGGTCATTGGGACAGCATTACACTGAACTTTAGCATCCACAGATCTTTCCAGTATTCTCAGTATGCCTATAGTGCAACTCTATGTTCCTGAGAAAACTTTGAGTTTCACCTTCTTTCTCTTGGTGTATCTGACTAGCATGACTGCCCAAAACACCTCTCATGGACTGATGAAGGTTAACTTTAAATATCAAGACAGGCTGTAAAACATTAGCTTTATTAACACAGAGAGAGTCAGAGCGAATAACCCCCCAAAGTACTAACCTGATAAGGTCTTGGTATACATTTATTGGTGGAGAAACACTCATCAGTGACATTTTGGACTCTCTTCTATCTTTACATTGTTGTTGGACATGCAAATTTACTTAATACAGGCAGCCATGATGTGTATTATGGTTGTGTGGGCTGCCTCCATACTGAGCAAGTCATTCTTGTTAAGCTCATGTGATTGAACCATGGTTAAATGCTGCTCATGGCATGGCTTTGTTTTGTAAGAGCCTTTACACTGCAATATTTCATAGCAACTGTTGGCTGTTTCTAGATAGTAAGCTTTTCCCGTGGTACAAACCGTTGCTAGGGCTACGGCTCTAATCGCAAATGCAGTTGACCAAATTTAATCACACACAGGAAGAAGTCGGGAAGAAATTGGACGTCTGTTGGTTTATGGAGAAAAAGTAAGAATGGACATGGAGGTGGCAGAGAAAAAGCAGATTAAGTTAAAGAGGCAAACCCTGTACACTTTGACAGGAAACTACAAAAGGGAAGGAAGAACCAGTTTCAGATGAGAACTGGTTCCAGCCGTGGACAACATCTGCTGTAATGCTTCATGGTTCTCTGGTGCACAAATATAATGATGTGACGCATCACCAGTGGCAGTTAATAAGAGTCATGGTAGACCAACAACAAGGGTGGCCCATTAAAACATATGTGCTTACAAGAATTAGGAGTTAAGGTCTTTACACACCGGAAGTGTTTTTTTCATGTGATTATTTCAGACATCAATATATTTTTTTTAACCCGTATCCTGTCAATACAAGCGTTCACATCAGCGTCATTTTCCCGTCCTGCGATACTGCGGCATTTATTCTTCCATATCATGGTCAAATTTTCTAAAGTCTAAAGTTTCGCATACTGTGTGTCCACTTCTGACCAATCAGATTGCGTGTTGTTGCCACATCAGATTCACCACTGTATCAAATATGGCCGACCGGCCGATTGTTTACATGTCGGAGAACAGAGTGCTTTTTGATAAAAGACACAAACATTACAAAGATAACGACCTGAAGGACAACTTGTGGAGAGTCATAGCGTCGGATTTCTCATATGACGATGGTTTGTGTGCTTTAACAGTTTGCTAAATGTCTTTGTTTTAACTTTCATCTGTGCTAAGTAACTTAAGCTCGTAAGCTAACCTGTTCAGATACAACATACCATATGTATTTTCATTGTCTCCAACTCAATCCCAGTGTTGCTGTCACAGCACCATTAGGTCTCAGTTGTTACCTTACCTTTATGGATTATAGTTTAATGTACTGGCCCCAACTCAATACATGCTATCATGAGACAGCCATCTCAACACTAGTGTCTAATCAGAACTGAAAAACAGTCAGTCTGCTGTTGTGTCAGTCTTCTCGCTTCCCTCTGGAAAGTCGCAAAATCACATCACGCTTGATGCGTTTGGTCAGGCGCGTCAAAATTCGCCTCAGAATATTTTGTAATTTCGTGATGTATATTTGCGTTGTTCCCAGTGTGTAAGGACCTTAAAATAGTGCCATTTGGGTTATTAGCTGACCCTGCCAACCAATCACAGGTTGTATCTGCAATCATGTGACCCATAAAAGCCCAATCAGAGGCCAGGCAGTGAAGGTTCTAGAACTTGTGATAAAATCTGTCATACTTTTTTATTTGTCGTAGATTAATTTCAATAAAAATGCGAAAATAAATCAAAGCATGCAAAGCTAATTGTTACTTTGGATGCATCTAAAACTGTGTAATCATTTTAAAAGCTGTTTCTGAATCAGTGATTGGTGTACATGTGTTGATGCTCACCCTGTCAAGATACTATAACAACCCATTTAGGATATACATTAATCACATAACACTTGTTACTTACCATCAAGAGATTCTAGTTTGAGGTTGGGTGTTTTGCGCTTATCTCTCTTTGTGTTTTGCTGCACTGTCAGCAGGTTAACAGACAGGCAGCTCCTATCTGAAGCAAATGCACACACAGGAGACCCTTATCTTGGAGAGGAGGAGTGTGCTGTGCAGAAGAAGGTTACAGCTGGCCAGTCAGGCTGTTCAGATTTACTACAGAGGGGTTAATATGCTGATAGAGGCCTCAGGTCACCTTGGTGGGCTTGAGTGGGGACAGGGTTGGGTTGAGGTGTAGCCTCGTGCATCACTCGTCCGTCACTGATGGACATAAGTGGTAACGCTCTCAGACGGGAACAGAGGAGGAGAGGCTTTCAGGAGATTCAATGAGCCTTGGAGTGTTTTCTAATTAGCTCATTAGAGACGGCCTGATTGCAATCACTTCCACAAGTTTACTCTCTTAAATTTGCTTTAAATTCTCGGTGGTTATCTGCGCGGTGTCTGGTGAGGCCGCGGCTGTGAGATCTGTACGGCAGCACTCAGCGCGTAGCAGACATCATCGCCCCCGGATTTAACAAATTACGGGTATTACATGAACGCCGTCTCTCAGTGCTGATGTAATGTTCAGCTGCTGGAGCTTAGCGTGGCTGATGTTGAGGGTCAGAAAAATCCCCCTGAGGAAGGAGTTAAGCGTGTAAGGCCCACCAGTCCTTGCGCACCTTAGACCATATGTGCCGTCTCCATCTCCCTGGGTTTTGTGTGTATGTGTGTGTGTGTGGGTGTGGGTGTGTGTGATTTCATACGCCCACGAGATAGGGATCTTGGTGCCCTTCACATGATGCTTTTACAGTGCAGCTACATTAGCTAATTCGACCCCCCTGCTTTCAAAAATAGCCCCTGATCGATGTGGCGCTCTGTTTCTTGCAAGCCTCAATGTTTCACCTTCAGGCTCTCTCACAGAAGAGGAAAAAAAAAAAAAAAAAAACACAACAGCAATCTCTTATTTCAAGTTTTCCAGAATTGCTTTGCAGTGGGGGCTGATGTTGCTTCATCTGGACTTATGCATTGACTTTCTTCACCTTGAAATATGTAAATACAGTTAATATTAAAAATACAACACTGAAACCCTTTTTTCCTGCTAACATGTAAAACTAAAACTGCCAGACAGTCCACATAAAACCGAAATGGCCTTAGATGAAGATGGGAGTTTATTTCAGGTCTAAAGGTATCTGAGCTGTGACTGTTGCATGGAAATAAGAACTCATTAAACATTAATGTTAAAGCTTTCTCCAAATATAGCCGCTTTTAACAGTCCAGTAGTTCCCATTGCTGAAATTAGATGAATGATTCCACGAGATTCCCTCAGAGTTAAAACCAATGAAACAAATGCTCAATTTAAATGTACAACTAGAAAAACAATGAGCTTTGTTTGGGATATGTAGAAGTACTTTAAAGACTCACAGTGGGCTACAACTAACATTTTAATGTAATTTATCCACTTATTAATAGGGCTGTGACATTCAAAAGAAAGTATTTTTGCATCAATTTCAGTTCCCACAATAAAGCTATATTGTTGCACTAACAGAGGCACCCATATGAGGTATACAAATTCACAAATGTACATCAAACCAAGACCGGATTTATCTGAAAAGATGTGTGATCACATGTTGTGGTTGAAAATCCCAGCTCTTATAAAAAATGTTTAAAATCAGGACACAACACACTAAGAGTTCTGAATGAAGTACACACTGATAAAAATAGTCTAAAAAAACAGCACACTGACAACAAAACCCTACCCTAATAACGGACAACATTAATGTCTCTTACCCTAACTGCATTATCCAGTCATGCCACTCTTAATGAGACATTATTGTCCTATCGCCAACTATCTTTGGTGATAAGCTGAAGTTTCCACTCAGTGCTTTCAATGATTCATGCTACACTTTCTTAATCAACAGATATGACTCCAGTGACTCCGCCTACTGTGACGTCACATACACTAAATGCATAGTAACTGGACATCTGTGCACAGATGAGTCAGAGAGGAATTTACCTCATAATTCCTAGTAATAGCATAGATACAGTTATAAGTTTAACCTCAAGTTGCTGTGAGAACTGGAGAGAGAGAGAGAGAGAGTGGTGGTGGTCGAGTTACAAAGAGATCAAGTGAGAGAGCAAGCACTGCTAATAAAATCAGAGCAGTAAAACGGAAAATCTGATTTAGTAAAAGTGACAGCCAACAGATATCAGTTTTTCTACTGCCGATGCTCATACCGATAAGAGAGAAGGTCAACCGACGGCCAATATATGCCAATTTCACACTGTTGTTTATCTATGTGTTCATTAATCCATATTTAATTTATTTAATTTTGTTTGCAGTTGACAAAATACAACAATTTAATAATGATATTAAAAAACTAGACTTTTGGATTCCTGTCAAGCCATTTAAAATGACTGTGACAGACAAAAATACAGGGAAAAAATTGGGGTTAAAATAAAATCAAATTTAAAAAAATGATTACCTTCAACTCTATTAGTCCATCTACATTCAAATCTAATGATTATGGTTATTTTAGTGGCAAGTTTTAAAGAAACTATGTGTGAACTGATGAAAAAGACAAACACCCAAAGACAATAGTCTCAGAGCTTCTTCTTTCTGTTGTGTAAACATCTCTCATGCAGTCAGATGCACTCCACTCTGCATGTGTAATGACAAAATTAATCAGCTTCATTGTTTAACTTCATTTTTAAGCAGCCGTCATTGTGTTTTTTTTTTCATAAAAGCACATACTGTGCAATGTAATAACAACAGCATTAAAGAGCCGCTGTGTACCCTGATAAGAACTGAGGAGGAAGCCAAATAGTGCAATAACCAACAGAGGACGACATCAAGAGCCACAATCAGCACCTAAATGCAAATTAGAACTACACAAATAACACATTACAACTATTACCACTGAATACAATTAAATGTTCTCTAGACAAAAGCAAGGAAACAATGAAAGAGCCCAGACGGCTCATGAAGTATTGAAGAAAAACTGAAAAGAGAGACAGTGAAAAAAAAAAAAAAAAAAGACATCTGGCTCAAAAGCCCACGCCTCCACCTCCCAAAAGGCTGACACTGTGTTTTGATTGGCCGGTTACTTCACTCTCAACACTTCTTTTATCTATATTGACACAAGGCAAAACATACAATACCCAATTACCGTCGGAACAGAAACACCCCTCATTCGACAAGGAGCCACAGCTGGAACACATGATAGAACTTGGACTCCTCATCACCATGGTGAGATCAAAGTGGCAGTCTTTCTATTTTTAAATTATTGGCTCTACTGCTGCTACATATGCCATCACACTTTCGTCTCCCTCTGTACAAGATCTATTCTATTCTTTGTTTTTGCAGAGGTGTATGCAGCATGTCCATTTATAACCTTAAAACTACAGGAATGAACATGTAAACAAAGCAAACTTAGCCTTTTTTTTAACCTTTGCTTTGCGTCTGTTTTTCCCTCATAAAATTTGCTCCTAAAGGTGTTTTTACTATTTATGTTATTCCTACCTATCCCTGTGTTACCTTGAGCCTACGAACATGACAGACCTCTCTACCTCCTCTTCATTTCAGTGGAACCAAGGCCCTTTTTACTACTTTCTTTTCGAAGGATAAAAACATGAAGGCTCTCACTGCTTTCACAGAAATCCACAATATAGGGCCAAGGACAAATGCACGGATCATTTAATTAATACATCGAAAAAGAAATCCAAAAGTCCTATTATGGCTTACAACCTTCACATGCCTGCAGTTTCCAGGAATGTTAGCGCCTCTGGGTGTTGAACAAAGCACTTTTAATGTGATTGAAATAGACATTTTAACACGGTTTCCAAGAAATTAGCCTGACTTGTTTTTATCACAGTAAAAATCCATTCAACCCCCGAAAAGAAACAATCTATAACAGAGGCAGTTGATAATCTGGTGGGAGTTCAGCAGAGCACATTTGGATTCTGCTGAAAATTAGGTTGACACCCGTCATAATGGGGGATAATCCCATGAACACGTCATATAGGACTAAAATAAACAGTCAGCGAGGGAGATGATGCAGTGTGGCCTGGGTTTCAAGTGTATGAAGTGGGAGTTTAGTGGAATTGGAGTGGATAAAAATAAAAAAGGAGCAGTGTGTTACATTACGTGTATGTGTGTTAGGACATAAAATGGAGCAAACTTGTGACCAAATGTCAAAATTCACAGGCAGGACACACAAGCAGGTCTGCCCCCCTGCCTTGTAACTGATCTTTAAAGTGCATCCTGATGGAAGATCTTGCCTCTGCGACGCTATTTTTAGCTTGGTGATACATCAGAGGTCGCACCTTTCATTTCAGTAGAAGCAACATCTGCCTCAATACTCACTGGCTAATCCAACAATGACGATAGTAGGCGTCTCTCTCCAACTCAGGTCTGCTGACCCAATTCATTTCAATAAATATATGAGACTATATTTAGTAACCATGATTTACTCAGTAATCATGTATCTGTTACTATGCTGCTGATAAAACACTTGTATGGATTAAAAGCATCTGCATGTTAAGCTTGAAAACAAATACACAAATGATATCAGTGTTACATCCACTCAAATCAGATTGAAGTTAAATCTCGACTGTACTTTGTATAATTGAAAAATTACGCCAAGTTGAGAGCTGGCAGCATCTTTTTTTTAAGGGTTTCTAGCACTGAGGCCAAAAGCACTACAAGAGTGAAAACCACCTGAGTGGACACAGCTCCTTAAAAACTATTGAGTGTGATATATTTATCGTCCTTCACACGGTGATACAGCAGTGAGGAAAGCTGCATTTGAACTGAGTAGCGAGCCAATGATGGCTGGTAGCCCGCCAGCTAAGCGCATGTGCAATATATAAAAGCAACAACAGCCACGGGCAAGTTGAGGTCGCAACGTCTTTGTTTTTGTTTTCTACACCAGCGTACAGGGAGCAGAGGTTTAAATACATCTTCACCTTGGGAGGCGTTTTTTTTAAACTTCTCTTTTCAGTGGCTGAAAACTCTGTGTGTGTACAAAAGGTCAAAACACACAGAACTGTACATTTTCAAAAATACCTGCCTACACGTGGACAAGGTCTCATACTTCATGCAGGAACACAGTTAACACATTTTTATTCTCTCTGGAAGTCCCCTAAAATCAGATTATGTCTTATACCCAGTATCCTTGATCTGATATTCTTGATTTACAGTAATTCAGCTTTACTAATATTTCTCATTGTCACATTAGATTTGAAAAAATCTGCTGTTTTTGGTTGTGGCTGTGATCCTCTGACTTGATCATCATTACTGACAGACTCTGACCTCTAGTGTGTCACTATGATCATAACAAGTGGTCAGGGGGGCTTGTCACCCCTCTGTCTCTCATAAAACCATAGAACACAAAGTGCTGGCTAATCTGATCGGCCTGAGCCGGTTTTTTCAAAAGCAGGCAGTCAGTCCATCAGCCAAACAATGAGAGAGGCCACAAGATAACACGATAAGCTGGGGTCGGTCTGGTGAGGTGGTCCTGGGGGGGGGGGGGTTGTGCATATGATGACAGGCTTTACTAATGACATGTACTGACAAAGCAATTCCTCAAAGCTCCTTTGAATACATCTGAATGTGTGCCGCCTTGTTGCTTGTAGAAAGACATAATTAAAACAAGGTTGGGAGGGTAGAGTGCTAGAGCTATAAAAACACAGTCCTACAAACTGGGATGGAAAAATGCTATTTTTCTGCAGTCCCTGTTGAGATGCCAGCATTGATTGGCTTGATTTAGTGTTCTGGTTTTTTTGCACACAGAAAGCAAAAGAAAAGGGTTGGACCAGTGATTGCTTCAGTGGGACACCATCAGCATGCAAAGCCAACTGGAGTATGCACACGTGTTGCTTTTGAAGTCAGAAATAGCAAAGCAAAAGAACTAACTCCTGTAATATTCATCCTCAAATGGTGCCCTGTGAGGCATCAAAATACAGCCCTGATCTCTACCATGTTTCCAGCTTGTATAGCTGCGGAAAAGACTTATTTGTGACCTCTTTTGCCCCTTTCATACACACATTGTGACCTAATGTTCAGCAGTCAGACCTTTGCACATCAGTCTGAGTTGACTCTGCCCAGATAAGTCACTGACCGCGCCACCAGACTAAGGAGCTTAGGGAGGGAAGAACGTGCAACAATTAAGGACAGCAACACGGTAAAACGAAGCCATCGTTGGCCTGTGAACTCCTGTCGCTCACAGGGCCAAGGCGACTTGACATGTTGTCAACCCCTGACATGAATACTGAGGAGGAGTCACTTGACAGATGAGACAGGATACCAGCAGGATACTACATTCAGTAAACTGCAAATACAAAACAAAACAAACTAACAATCGCCTCACAACTTCACAATAAATTATTGCAATGGGAGTATTTGTTACAAGAGCACTGAAGGCAGTAATAAAAAAAAGGTACTTCAACACTGAAAGCTAAATATGTTATAGATTAATAAAGGTATTAGACAGCAAATAAAGCCCAAAGCACACAGACAATGCATTAAAGACATTAAGGATATCGGGTAAAGGTCCCTGTATTTTCCCATCAGATTTCAATTTGATGTTGATGTTTGTTTAGCTGGCTAGCATGACTTTTCAAGAACGAGAAGTCGACTCAATTAACAAATTTCCTTAAATGGTGATAATATGTTGATGTTTTAACATCTGGATGTATCACTTAACACTACATCACTCTTGGCCTTACTCATGGTACTTAGCGTGATCTTTGCTAATTTTCCATAGAGATCTGAGGTTTTGTGTCAAGATACATTTAGCAAACACAAACAGTCTAAGTAAAAATTTCATAAAACTGGAGGTGCACCAGCTCAACAGAGCTTTTCAAAAGCTTATAAAACCTTCCAATAGCAAAGACCATCTTAACTATTAAATATTGAACACCCCTCGACCTACCTGTCGAGATACTGGTGTTTTGAAAGCACAAAGCTCTTTTCTCTTTTTCGGTATCCACCATTCCTGCCGAGTAAAGCACTGACGAGCATTTATGTCTGTGTTAACTGGAGTGAGAGATCATATAGGAGGAGGGTTACTATTGAACAGCTTTTACACAATGGCTTTAAATTGACCTCACATCCACGCTGAGATGTGACAGTTCTGTTGGTGACAAATTGATGATAGTACACCTCATCTCCGGGCTAAAAAAAAAAAATGACACCTCTGATCTGCGAAATGATAAAACAGCGAGCCCTGATTCACCATTAAACCCTCTGCCTGGAAGCTTCGGCATTATTTTTGAGAAAATAAGGGAGACAAAGCAATCTATTTTTACGTTCCCAGAAGCAGAATAAACAAGTTACACAAAGAAACTTTTGGTGTTGATAAAAAAGAGAAAAGGCAGTACAAGCCATTATGTAAGGAGATAAAAGGACGTGGCTGCAGACAGTGCAAAACTGACTGATGTCTTCTAAATGCAGAACATCAAACTGCTGCCCATGCTACTCAAAGAACTGAATTTATAGTATTTATAGCATGCATTGTTAATGGCTGAACGCCAATTACCTAGCAAGCATCCTACACACTCTTATCATTAATGTGACACCACAACACTGCTCCTTTTTCCCCGCTGACTGCTCGTGTTTCTGTTGATGCCAGCATGTCACACCCAAAAGGAACATCCCAATATCATAATGCATGGAATCATCTCAGGGAAGCCCATTTTAATCAAGTGCGGCGTTCAAGGGCGTAGCATTGAATGACACCCTGTAGTCCTGACAGTGCAATCCTTTACACCTGGGCGGGGACGTATAGAAGATTTAGGTCACATTCGAGCTCAGTTATGACAGAGAAATGATTAAAAAGTTAGCAGTTCAAAGTGGTCAAAGTCAGCTAAAAATACAAAGATGAAAAAAACAAAAAAAACAATAGGACCTTCCATCATATTTCGCAGGACACCTTTATGAGTTAACTCCCTCATCCATGTCCTTGCCCTGCCATTTTGCTCTCCATTACTCATGTTTGAATCTACACACACTCACATACACACACAGGCCTGCTAAATTGCCAATTAAATCTCAAAATAACACAAGTCTCGAAATACACACGTCCCCAAAGTGTCTTCGCTTGATTAAAACTGCTGTTTGGATGACTATATTCTAATAATATTTGTGCCTTTCTAGTTTGATTAACCCTGTAGACCCACAGAAAACTGATGCCACTATATTTAGAAAAATGTCAACTTTAAACTCCTGTTTTTTTGCATCTTTAGTTTGTTAAATTGAAGTTTTTCAAAGCAGGGAGTGGAGTGAAAGAGAGAGGAGAAGCTAAATCTGCTGCCGGCATAGCAGGAGATAAGACATGATAGTGGGGTTTGATTACTCATCTGTTTTTCCCTTTATTGAAAGCTCCTTTTTTCCCCAACACACACAAACACACAAAGGTTCTTTAAGCCAAAGTACCCAGAATGCACTGCAGCTCAAGGTCACCTAAGTCTTCCTCAATACTCAGCCTGCCCACCTCATTTCTGTCTTTTCATACACTGTCCTTTCAAAATAAAAGAAGTGTGCTAGAAATTGAACCCACAATATTGAAGGGTTGTAGTACGTGCTTGTCAGACAAAGACAGGGTATTAGTCTCTTATTTACATGTTAGGTCAACAAACTGCATATAAAAAGGGGATGTTGATTTCCATAAATGTTTCCCCTCAGCAGTAGGTAACCGGTAGTTTATAGAACCTGTATGTTCTTACAACAAATCCCTATTTGATAATAGCTCTACAATGCAACTTTCTCAAAATTTCATTTCCATTTCATGTTACAAAGAAATCTAAATCCGTCCGGATAATCTCTACACTGGTATCAAATTGCACTGCAGTGTCTTTTGCCCTCAAGTGTCATTGAGGGGGAGGTATGCTGTGAGAGCCAGTACACTTATTTCAACTGTTTCGAAGTCCAGCTGATTGAGCTAATAAGTGATACGCGAAATACTGCATTGAACGACCACACATGACTCACTATCTCAGAGAGCAAATATGGAGTCAGGCTCAAACAAAGTAGACTATGGCGGCAGTCCTGACATCAACTCATGTGAGATACTGACCTCATCAGGCTACGAGAGGTTCGCATAGTTCGAAAACAATTTTAATACAGCATTTTGTGGGAAATCTTTTACGGAGGAAAAAATAGCTCCTGAGATCTTCCGGGGATTTGTTTGCCAGACCGAGCCACAATTTGTGGAGCTTAACCCAGAATTACACATTTGACTCTTTTATTAATCCCACTGTGGAATACTGTAGGGCCAGCAGTGTGCAGTAGGCCTATCTCTTGAGCCACATGAATAGAAAATGGTCACTATGTTTATTTAAAGAACTCTAAGTTGAGGTTCATCATTTTCAATGAATTATTAATGATGTATGGAAGTCTCAAGAAATGTTTGTTTGGCGTTTTGGACATCTGTGGGTCATTAGTCTGACTTAGAAATGGTTGATGGGAACCAAAGAGATGCATTAAATAAAAACCATGAAACAACATGGTTTCATTTTCTGCTCCATTGAAAATAAAGTCAAGGTAAGCCTGACTTTATTCAAAATCAGCTGCATGTAATGCAAGAAAGGATGGTTGTGCTGCAATGCCAGAGCCAGAAGCTAATTACTGCAGATCTACTGGAACTTGCTCATAGACTGACAACTCATTTAACATTTTAATACCAGAAGAAGAGACTGTGAGGAATTTTGATACAAATCAAGAACCCAACTCACCTTGGGCTGCACTTCAACTTCTACCACTTGGTTCTTGTTCATGCAATCTTTGACAAAGCCCTCCACTTTGCTGTTGAACTTCATGAAGATCACGTAGGCAGCGTAGCCTGAGAGCAGCGTGATACTTTCCCACATGGAGATGAAGTTATCCAGGAAGAAAATGATAAGCATGATCAGATCCAGGATATAGAAGGAGACGTCGCGGAAGAGTGGCCACCACGTCAGGTTGAGGATCTCCTTGGAGAAGATGGCGCACATCCCAATCACAAAGAGGATGTTGAAGACGGCGGAGCCGACGATGGTTCCAATGCCCACATTGCTGTGCGAGATGAAGACGCCAATAATGGAGGTGAAAAGTTCGGGGGCTGAACCACCTGCCGCCATGAAGGTGGCTCCAGCTACATCGTCTGAAATTGTCAGCTTCTCTGTGATGACGGTAAGAGCTGGGACGAAGAACTCGTCACACACTATGGCTAAGGCAATGAACATGTAGATCATGCCAAACATGTGGAGGACCACCGCTCCTTTGCGCCTCTCCGCACGTGTGAAAAGGTCTCGTGGGTACTCCCCCTTGCTCTCGTTGCTATTTGCTGTAGATTTCATGGCTATGGGCATGTCGGCTGATGCATTGGGGTCTGTCTGAGGTTGGGTGAAAAGCAGAGTCCTGTGTGGAACAGACTCTTGGCGACTCTCCTCGCTTTGACCCCCTGAGCTCCAGGTCAAGGCACTGAGGGAGACGGCACTTAAGACCACCAGGCTGAAGATGAACCCCAAGATTCGTACTGGCCTCAGCTTTTTTCGCAGACACCGGTGGGCCTGCCACTTACAAGCAGCACCCAACATGGGCCTTCTTTGCTCTCGTGAATCCATGCTGAGCTGATCTGAAGCCATGTATGCACAGCGTGTCGAGTCCTCGCTCTCAAAGGCTTGGTAGGAAGAGGGGAGAGTGGGTACCGAGTTTTACCGGAGACAGTGCATGGTGTTGTCTTCAGTTTCAAACAAGTTGATGAGATCGTAGGTGCTTCCCAGGGTCTGGTTTGCCAAATGATGTCTTCATATTAGCCTCTGCTGGACAATGTCAAAAGAATGAAGAGTATATTACTAGTTAGCTAGGAATAAATTTAAGAAATGTGCTCTATAAAAAAATACAGTTAAATTAAATAGACAGTCCAACACATTTATTTTTTACAGATCCAGCATCTGTCTATGCTGACTACTAAACAGTTGATAAATCTCAGCAAATAACAGAAAATTAATCTTTACAAACCATGTCGCCTATCATGTAGCCTTATTCGTTTTTTCTATAACAGATTGTCAGATGCTGCTTCTCTATTTTTATAACAATACAAACAGACTAACCTTGACCTTTCTTTGGATGAATTTTTCAAAAAACATAACAGATGGTTTCACCAATAATCATTGTTGCCCCGGAAAAGTCAGCCACAAGTCAGGACTAATCCCCTCCTGCCCACTGCCCAAAAAAGCTCTTTGTAGAGAGCAAATGCCCGAAAACTGTGTAGGCCTACTGCAGCAGCTTAAATGTGCATCTCCTGTGTTTTCAAAAATCCTCCAATGGCTTACTTCATTATCTCACGGTTCTCTGAAATTATTCTCCAATAGCGAGAAATACTTGGATTAAAAAACAAAAACAAAGAGGAATCTTCTTGTGCCGTTCCTGATATAGTTGTGTCTGTCATGTTGTGGCTGAAAAAACATTGAGCGGTTTTCAGTGATCCGCGATTAATTCAAAACGCAGCATGCAGCAAACAGTCTGAAAACTTCAATAGGCAGATGGTTCTGCTCGTCTCATAATTGTAATTTCATTTGAGACAAATGAGATAGGCTGTATAATGGGAAACCTGCTGTTTTTACCTGAGAAATGTTCACGAAATGAGGAGGCCGACGGTAAACGGACATCACTTAGCTGCATTCAGTGAAAATGGAATGACGCTGCCGCTCAGGTGAAAGCAAATTAACCACACATACCCTGTCCTGTTTGACTTTTCGATGCTGTACAGCCCTGCAAACACCTTTTCTAACAAACCAGCTCCACTCACAACTCTTCTCCCCGTCTGCCCTTCACTGAAGCCTTCGCCCTTCCAGCTGTATCATCACACAACAGTCGACAACCCATCATCCCCGACCAAAACAGCCCAACATCATAGTTTCCCAGGCGAGGCGCGTGACGCGTGGAGAGCAGCACGCGGTGTCATGCCTTACCTTTCCCAGAGGCGAGAAAACAGCCGCACGGCACAGCAGCAGGTTGAAATTAGGAAATCCTCTCCGGTGCCCTCTTGCTCTCATTGAGCAGAATGTGACCGGTGTCCGCTTTCCGACGACAGAGGAGGAGCTTTGGAAGGATGGGTGGTGGTGGTGGTGATGGTGGTGGGGCGGAGGGGGGATGCTTTTCCAACTACGCTCACCTCTCTCTCCCTCACAGCAGCTTCAGCAGCATCCCTCCTGTCTCTCCGATGAGGGGAGGGGGGAAAAAATCACCCAGTCGAAAATACTCTGCTAATGTAGCAGAATAATGTGCAGGGCTGGGCTGACCACGTGACCCGGGTGCTTTATTAATAAAGCCAGGTAAGACAGGCAGACAGCCTATCCTTCCCCACTGGGTTCACGCGGTGGGGGCTTTGGTGATGTTGCAGTTTGAGGGAGGAGTTGCCGTGGTTACACAGCAAAGGCAGTATTTCCACTCATTTTTCCCCCCTGTTCCACTGATGACGGAACAGGTGGATCAGCCTCAGCTCAGCTGTGGTTCATGTGAACGCCTCAGGTCATTTCAAGGTTGTATGCATGAGGTGGTTTCCTTTCTCAGATAATGTTGCGATGACGGGCTCGAGCTGCAGCATCTCACCGCTTTTTAAAAAGTAATGCATCTCCCCTGTGATGTTCTTTTTAAAAAGATTCACATTAACAATCATGGATAAAAGCTGCTTCTTTCTTCGAGTTAGGAAGACTGATAGGTTTCCACATGCATGTATATTTTCAATAGATGGAGCTTGTGGCTGGTGAGCTTACATAAAGACATTAAATGGGCAAGTCTGGCTCTATCTGGAAGTCAATAAATATTTTAGGACTTAGCAAGCTTTCTAAATTTATCTCTTTTTTAATTCAAGAGGCAGTTATGAAAAACTACTCTGGTGTTTGTTGATCTGTCTCTTGGTCAGGTGCAGTACATTGAAGCCTGTAAGGAAAAATTAATAAAACACTTTATATAAACCCAAAAAGGGTTTGAGGATTCTGTCATTTATAATCATTTTTTAACCTACAACAATCAGAAACCCTTATCTTGAGCCAATATAACTGAGTCCTAAATTTTTGTCCACAACACTGCCATGTGACTAAAAGTTATGTTTGTATGTTTTCCTCAAATGCATCATCACTGTGGCTGCTCAACTTTCAGACATGCACAATGGATGGACAGGAACATAGTAACTAGAAGCACGCTGAATTGCAACATTATAGATCTAAACAAGAGAGATTTGCTTTCCTCTGAAAGGGTTGCCAACTCTGGAGCACATTAACCCCCTGAAATGAAATTGATCCCAGATATATGAGCCCTCAAAGCATAAAGGTTAAAGGAAAATTAAAGCTGTACTCAGTTTTGGCTAATTGTGTTACTAATTCATATGGGTGTATAGGAAGTACTGCATGTACTTCTTTACTGTAGTTATTTTACTGCATTTTAATGGTGCTAAAATGCTGCATTCTCAATATACAAACCAAACTAAGGACGGGACTTAAAAATAACCAACATTTTCTAAAACGTCAGTCAAAACACCAGTCAACGCTCTGTGTAAGGTGTGTCAAAAGGCGTCACCCTTATCCAACAAAATAAAATGGATTCACAGAAGAAAAAAACAATAAGATCTACTGTGCTTACAGAGCTCTGGAGTTGCTGGTGTAGGTCACCAGTAACTCAGCAAGGCAAGCTGTTACCACCCTCTTCCAGTCTGTATGTTGAGCTAAGCTAACCAATATAGCCGCTTGCAACAGCATCATGTTATATGGATGGAAAAAAATTGGTATCAACTAATTTAATTCTGTTCAGGAAAGTGAACAAGTGCACTCCCCAAAACACTAACTTTTTAGATTATTTGTACTTTTATTCATAAAAAATTCAAACAAAACGTGGGAGACAACATGAAAAGGTCACGTTTGCTTCACGATCCATTTCGCCTCATTTTAATATGTCAACCTATACCAAGCTTTCATCAGACAGAACCATCCTCCCTGCAGCCCCCCTGGGGTTGCCATGTTTCCCCTTCATGTCAGAAAAAGCCCCCCAACCACTTAGCATTAGTCCACAGGCCAGACCCTGCTGGATAGATGCAGACACGCAATCTCTACATAGTGTGACAAAGTATGTGTGACACTAATGGCCTGCTGCTGTATAATAAATCATGATTCAGTGACCTCATTGATTGGCCCCTCTCCTCTGCTCTCATCTCCTCTCCACTGTAGTCCCCCCTGTTACCTAACAGGAAACACAACGGACGACAGCATTAACTTGATTTACCTCAGATTATCAATAGGATGACGTTTCACAACAACAATGCTTTGTAGTCCAAATGTATTTCTCAACCGAAATTAGCTGATCTGCAGTAATTAGCGCCTTCTGAACCATCTGATAAATAAGTAGGGGATAATATATAGAGAGAAAACAAGATCCAAAGACTGGGGGGTTTGTAGGTAAAATATTTTTTAACATAAATACAGAAAATATCACAATTTTGATCACTTTTGCAATTATCAATAGTGCTTTATGTTGAAGTTACCGGAGATCAGGAACTAGAGGTGGACCACCGGCCATCTTTGCTGCTGTTGCCTGGATAGCAGCACAGGCTTGTCGCCATTTTTTCTGTTCAGAGGTAGTTGGGGCGTCTGTGTCCTGTACATGGCATCATCCCCCAACACTAAAAACCAGCCTTAGGTGGAAACTTGTGCCTTTTTTCAGGGTGTTCTCGATGCTCACGCCCTCCATTATTAACAGAAATTCAGAAAAGCTCTACAGCCTCCTCACATCTGTTTAGTTTCATTTTGGCTGACAATTACCTCGTGTGGCCTAGCATAAAGACTTAAAACAAAGGCAAACATCTGGCTATACAAGTCCAAATCTTGAGAGTAAATAAAACAGATTATGGGCTTAATGAGGGTTTACATTCCTGACAACATCTAAGCTGGCAGCAGGGATTTCCTGAGGTGTAACTTAAGTCTTGAGGTTGGCAGGCGATCAGCTAAGCTAACTGACTAATAGCTAGTGTAATCACCAGGTAGACAAAACAAAAGCATAATAACATCACATCTGTACCTTACCAGTGGAGAAAACTTTACCCCCAAGTCCTGCAGTGAAGGGCTGGCCCACTGTAAAGACAAGCAGACAGTTCATGAGTTATAAAGTTTATCTTCACACTGAGCATCCTGGTCCACCACTTCACAAGTCCTGAAAAATCTTCATGGTAAATATAGGACACACAGAGTTAAGTTTAGACACTTCAGCCTTTGAAATGAAGCTGCACCACATCATCTCTGTCATCTCCGGCTGTCTTCTCTGGCTTAAAAAAAAATCATCTTAATGATATCAAATTGACGTCACCTCTGCGTAAGACTTCAAATTTATCCCGTATTATTATTTTAGGCGGCCAAACGTCATTGAAGTGATTCAGTAAAGTAGAAGTTACCTGGGCTGCCAACAACATTGAGTAGAAAACAGTTTGTCACAATTTGTTTTTCTCTTTTTGTGCTCTATATATACACACTAAACATTTGGTGATGTACCAAGTCCAATTTTATTTCTTTTTACAACCCCAATCCCAATAAGTTGGGATGCTAAGGTATTAAAAACTGATTTTATTTTTGTTCATATCATTTGACAACTATGATTTTTGTAGTAAATCCAGGTCAAAACTGATCCATGCAAAGAGACAACTGTAAATAAACATGATCCAACAACCTCTCTTGGTCAGGGCTCATTTAAGAGTAAAGGCGAAGTTGTAAACCAGCTCTGTGGTCTGACAATCAAAATCTGACACTTGCTTGCAGAGAGGGGCCATACAACCTGTTATCAATGCACGTCAATGGCCTGGATAGCTCACATATCTGAGGAAAAATGCAGAGATGCCAATGCCTTTTTCAGGGAAGACTTAGCATATTCGAAATCACATTCTGCACATAGAACAGCAGCATTGCTAAACTGAAACAACCAGCAGTCTGGACTTATCACCAACAGAAATATTTTGTGCATCATGAATTTTAAAATATGAAAAAGTAGAGACTGAACTGTGAGCAGCTAAATTGCCATATTGGGTTAGAAAAGGAAATGACTTGTTTTCAGATTTCAAGTAACTGATTACCTGGATTCTCAAACATTTACAGTGTTGTGGAAAGAAGGGGTGAAGCAGCACACTGACAAACATGCCCCTGCCCTATCTTTTTTAAACATCAAATGGCATCAAATTAAGATAAGCCAAGTTTTTCATAAAATAATTTATTTTCAGTGCGAACAGCTTCACTTTGTACTCAGATGAGTATACCTAGTTTGAGAAACAGGTTGCATGAGTGTAATTTTGGGCTCTTTTCACATGTTTTGAGCAGACTTGGCCTCTGAAAGGTTTGATATTGAATCAAAGATTGAATCTGGATGAGGACTGTCAAGCACAAATGAGACGTCACATTCTGTGCTCCATTTGTTTAAAACAGTACATTTTGTGTTCACGTATCTGATCAGTATAAATTATCATCCCAAAGTGCACTCTTGGATCTGTCAATATTTTTGCCTATCAAATGGGATCCCATCCTGGCTGTCAGCTCTTTTTCAACAATGACCCCCTTCAGCGCTCAGGCAGCCTCCGCACCACACCACCGCACTGACCACTCCTCATCTGGCTGCACTTCCAACATAAAAGTGATGACTGGTCACGGGTCATGTGGATCGTGGTGGGGAGGAAGGGGGTTTGAGTGGGTGGGGGGGGGGATGATGGTGGCAGTTGTTTTGATTTGTCTGAAATCTGTGCTGTGACAAAAACAACAGAAATTTCCATGCTGGCCCTGCCCCCCACCCGGCCTGTCCTCGCTTAGGCCCGGCAGCTAAATCCGAGCTATTGTGTCCCACATAGTTGTATGGATTTGTCAGCAATGAGGCAGGGGCAGTCGGGGGTAGATAGGGTGATGATAACCAAGCAAGTTTTTCCGGTGTCAAGAGAGGAACAATTGACTGAAGCAGGGTATTGAATTAACTCTAATAAACAAGTGGTTTTTATTAATAACTGATGCCAAAAGCTCTTTGCTCCTGCAGACCAGGAAAGCATTAAAAATGGAGAGTCCCTAGATAAGCTTTTTCTAAGAGACTTGCCTCGGATTAGACGTTGAAAGCCTCATATTAGCAACCACCACCGCCAGAAGTCTGTACAAAGAGGCTTGGATAGACCACCTGCCCCTTAGGAAAATGCAGTCAGCAAAACAAAACAGGAACACGCATCATTGTGATCGTCAGGAGGAGTGTGAATCATGAGGCCTTCAAACAGCTGACGAAATGGATTTTAAATAGCCAACGTCTGAGTTTAAGACATAAAAAATTTAATTTCCAGGATAAGAAGGGGGGGAAATGATTTTAGCAGGAAATCAGGGGTTGATAGGAAAGCTCAGAAGAGATTAGCTAATGTATAATCCACAGGCAGGTCGGATCACGAAGAGCTGGAGCTGATTAGTTGTAAGCACTAAGTGTGAAAGTGAGACTCGCCCTTTACTGCCGGGATCGATGTAAATGTTGAGTTCTGCCATGTTTTTATAAAAATACTGAACAGAAATATTTAAAGGTTACTCTAAGTAGCCCTTTAGTCGCTTTTGAAGAGACCTGAGTTAGCTTTGTTTTATATGTCACTGAACTTTGAGCATGGTACAACAGTGGCTTAATTAATCTGCTGGTTTTAGTTGAGTGACATGGCTAAACGGCTGCAAACGACACACAGCTAACTTGATCTATGTTAGAAAAACGCCTCCAACATATTTTTAGCTTCTGGCGTATTCTCAGTGATATCTTCCCCCTATTTTTCTGAATCTGCGTTTTGAAGCCACACTGGTGACACTGGCTTAACCAAACTTTTGTTCGACCAACTAATTGCAATGGGGTGGCTGTAAACATATATATTCCTGCTATAGAGATGGGCCTTTGACAAAATGTGTTAATAGGGTCTTGTGGGCTTTTTGGAGTTAGGCTAAGTGGACCTTAAAGGAAGTGCTGTTGGTGGTACTTCCACGTTGGCCGGTTGGGGGTTGCTGCTGGGTAATTTCAGTAGCTATAATGTGAAATTCATGTTTTTAACTGCAAGTGTAGCTCAAGGGCGCCCTCTGTAATGTTATCGTCTATTATAGTATAATCGTTTATCTGCGACAAGATGTATGACTATCATAATCAACAATGAATTGATGGTTTTAAAGCTCCTGTCAGGAACTTTAGGTTTGGGGCAGTTATGGTGCTGCTCCATGATCACAGTATTTACTATATCTTACAAATACAAAAGTTAAAACTTATCTGTCTGGCATTTTTATGGTCAAATGTATTATTTAACTTATATGTTATGTATAGAAACAGTAGACCAGGGCTACTTGGCTGACACCTTAACTCAGTGGTTCTCGGGTCCAGTCCTCGAGGCCCACTGTCCTGCATGTTTTGGATGTGTCCCTGCTCCAACACACCTGATTCAAATGATCAGCTCGTTAGTAAGCCATTCCAGAGCTTGATAACGAGCTGATCATTTGAATCAGGTGCGTTGGAGCAGGGAAACATCCAAAACATGCAGGACAGTGGGCCTCGAGGACTGGACTTGAGAACCACTGCATTAATGTATTCAAAATAACAACAAATAGCCAGTCTTGTCTGTGATGTTGGTGTTTGCTTTTGGATATCATGAAAAGGCATTAATATAAATCTGGGACTACGTCATACCCAAATAACTCCACATGGGAGCTTTAAAACAAGTGAAATGTAAACATCAGTGCTCATAAACCCACCGTTTTTAAATCAACCTCTACATAAACGCCAAATCAGTACAATACCTCTATCTAATGAAGAGTCAACAGCCGATTTTGGCCTCATTAAATTCCAGTCTAAAATAAACAAGTCCTTAAAATGGCTTCAAATAATCAAAAATGTGATCATTCTCATGTTCTTCAGAAAGGTATAAGCTGAGAATTCTACAGGAGCAACAGAATAAGAAATTCTGCATTTTGATTTTTAGCAGGATTGTGCATTAAAGTTATCCTGAATAGATTACTCTGCTGGGGTCACAGCCCTCACTATTGTAAAAATCCAATCAATCTCTGCCTTTTGTGACCTTTCAGAGTATTTCACCATTGAATAGGAATACTTTGAAAGAACAGACAGGACAAAAGAGTGATAGATATTGATCCCTACGTTTCAAGGTTAAAGCAGACAATAGGAAGAGGAAGAAGAAGAAGAAGAAGAAGAAAAAGAAGAAGACACTAAAGCATGTTTTCTTTTGTTGATGTCTGCCATTGAGAAGTATGATGTGATGGAGGATAGCATTGATACAGGATGTGGACTGCATTATAAGCCTAATCCTTATGTCAACAGCCACACAGATGGGCTGACCTGCTGGGCTACAGGGATGAGTTTTTTTTTTTTTACAGAGGGTGGGGGCTGAAATCTTTGCTGCCTGTCTGGTCATGACAAACAGGAGGGAGGAACGAGTGAGCTTGTGAGAATGAAAATTTAAAAAAAAACAGACGAGTAAAAAAAAAAAAAAAAAAAAAAGTTGAAAAATGTTTCATGCTCTGATGTCATTAGGAAGGCGAAAGCAGAGCTGTAATCCTATTTTAATCGCAGTGGATTTATTAAACAGGAGCAGCAGGTTTAAATCTCAGCAGATTACACAGAAGGCCCAAGGAGATGGGGTGGGGGTGGGGTGGGGGGGGGGTTCAGAGGGGGTGGGGCTTGCGTAATCAAGTGCACTTAAGGTGATATGGTACATCTTCGACTACCACCAAGACTGATTGAGAAGGAGACTCCTGAGTCAAGGGGCTTTACAAAACAAGACGGGTCTCGTCGCTTTGAAATAATCATCTTCCCTTACAATGATCCTAATTTATTGATTGAGATCTAAATCAAGTATTCGACTGAGAGGTCTTTTCAAATCATTACTTCTGACAAGATTAGGACGGACTCCCTGCAGATGTTACTAATTATTTGGATGTGAGTGTGTGTCCCATGGAGCCCCTGCAAATCTCTTTGGCACCCTTTGTAATAGACCTTGATTCTTGTGAAGAACGGGTTAATCCCAGGTCATGTCACATCTGGACTTAATCAAATCAGTCCTTTAACTGACCATGTTGAGCAAGCTCAGACCTCTAGAGGTCACCAGTAATGAAAGGTATTCAATCAGAAAAAACAATGACAGTGTGTGTAAAGGATTGCCATGCTTATATGAAAGCTTGTCATGTATTAATGCAAAATATCATTGAAAAGTTGACCAAATCATGATGGCGGACATTTTTTTTTTACAATATATCAAGTAGCCAAAGTAATTGCAGTAATTTTATGATGCCACATATTTATTCACAGTACAAAAACACACACAACTTAAACTTCATTAATTGATGCAACTAATCAGTTTTATGGCCACAAACTTTCCTTGCTGTATATTTTATTATTAAGTGTAAGAAAATGAGCAGTAAGGCATTTTAACTGAGTTGAGCATAAACCCAGACAGTTTCATGGCCTCACGCACGGATGCCAGCACACTGTACAGAACTGTGTGTTGTGAGTGAACTTTGCCACTGCCAAATGCTTCATCTATAACCGACGCCAAGCTCACCATCTGTTGGCTGAGCTTGGCAAATGTCTGTGACATAGCACCTCTTTCATGGGAAGCCATTTTGAGCCATTTATTTTCTTCCTTGGAGTCCCAGTGTGAAAGCATGCAACTGTTCTGTGCAGTTCTCTTCATTTCGGTCTCTAATATGAAGAATTATCAAGTGATATCTGGTGTATAGCTTTTAAAACTGTGCCACTATTTGCTGATCTAATAAAAAAAAAAATAATGGCAGTTTTAAATCCTCAGATTCCATAAACCATAATGTAAAAAAATGACAGATAATAGTAGTATCAGATATATCATTTACTGTGAAGGGTCCTATCAAGCTACAACAAAAACACACCTTTGATTTAAAGTTATCTTCTATGTTATCATGTTTTGATTTTACCCTTATATAAAGTATACCAAAACATAAATCAATGAGGTGAATATTTGATCAGTAATTATGCGAACAGTTAGCTGATAATTTAACCTCAGCACAAAGTTTTCAGGACTGACTGGCTCTCACACACCACCATACGAACAGCAGCCGCCAAAAGCTTAATAAATGCTTCCATCTAGTGGAAAACACAGGCAACAACTTTGATAATAAATTAAATGCACGCTAAAAGTTAAAGATTCACAGAAACTTACATTATTTCTTGGCTGTGGAAACAGGTAAGTCATTTCGGATGCAGTGTTAAGACGAAAACTAATGATATTTCTCTCTCGTGCTTCACTGATTGGACGAGCAGGAAGACCACAGGTGCGACTATTCACGTTAATTAGGGCACGGGCCAGGTCAGCAGGTGTGCAGTTACAAAAGCAAAGCTCGGTAAACGGAAACAGACAGTTATTAATTACAACCCTGACTTTCCCTGCCGGGGTGGCCTCTAGACCACATTTTGAGATTTTATTTAAAAATTATTATAAATTTTACGGATCATTTGTATACATGAGTTTTACAAGTGTAAGATTTTACTTAAAACTGTGATTTTGCCAAAAATAATAATGCTTTAAAATCAATATTTTTAGCAAATAATGTCACGGTAAGGGCTGTTATATCATTATCAAAAATATTTCAGTGTGCACCTCATTTTTGGAAATATTGCATATTTTGTGTTTTTCCCATTCCCAAAAAAATCATGACCAAAAACGAGTTACTTTGAAAATATCAAAAATTATAAAAAAATAAAATAAAAAATAAAAACGTGAAATTTATGAATTAGTATAAAGTTGTAGACAAGATGTGATGCTTTCAAAGGTAAAAGAAAGAATGTATATTTTTTACTCCACTTTCATTAGACGGACCGTTTGTAGCGAAAGTAAATTTCAAGGGATGCACAAGGGTTAAATAAATTCAATGAGATCGATAAGCAGTTGACGTCGCCATTAGCATGTTGAATACATCACCAACAGGGGGCAGTGTGATAGAAAGCCGTCTTGTATTTTGTCCCTACTTTATCTCCCTCACATCCGCTCTTGTCCTTCCTCTTCCGGTTACGGCGATAGCAGGTATGGCGGCGCCTATCCTACTCTAAAACGTTTTAGCTTCAGAATCCACTCTAATCGGACCATTTAGAATAAAAAACGGATGTTTTCGAAAGAGATGTGTATTAAGAACGACACTATATCTCTAACAATGTTCTCATTTCATTGATAACTTGACGATGTGTGATGTTAAATAGATGCCGCTCCTGAGGTCCCTAAGGCCGGTTTGTTGGTGCTAAGGAGTACCCTGAAATTGCATAAAAAGGATACATTTGGCAAGACTCACAACTGGAGACGTGGCTTTCCTGTCAGCTTAAATGTTATATAAATCCACCAGTCTATATTTGTTGATATAAAATCTGTATATTACATGTTAGCAGCCAAGCTTCATGTTTCAGATGTAACCTAAATGTCTCTGTTTACAGCGTCAAGATGGTGCAGCGCCTCACTTACCGCCGTAGGTTGTCCTACAACACTGCCTCCAACAAGACCAGACTGTAAGTGTGCATTTTTACAGTACTTATTTCACATCTCCTGCCTCGATCACGAATAATTCCTCACGCTCCCCTTCAGGTCTCGGACGCCCGGTAACCGAATTGTGTACCTGTACACCAAGAAGGTCGGCAAAGCTCCCAAATCAGCATGTGGCATCTGCCCAGGAAGACTGCGTGGGGTAAGTGGATCCATTTTATTTGTTTGACTGCTTTTTGCTGGCTTATTATGTGTGGCAGAGTGGCAGGTGTGATGATGCCCATGCTTTGGGGATCATGTGTTAAAAGGGTTGTGATTGTGAGACTTGCTCAAGTGCCAAAATCAAGTAGGATTTACCACTTTGATCAAGGGATGAAAGTTTGTATTTACAAACTATTAAAGTCTGCTTCAGGCATGATGCACCAAGTTGGTCTGATGCTGAACTCTTGCATGGTCATTTTGCATAAAGGCCTTGCAAAGACATGTTGTTTCTGAACTTAAATCAGCTTCAACCTGGCAAGCAAAAGCTGAGATGCAACCTCTTTTCACCGTATTTCATGCTGAAGTAATATGCCGCTCAATAAATGTAAATGTCGTCAGTCAGAATTGAATCACATATTGAGTATGTTTGTCTGTAGTGGCATTACATTTACACATAATAAAGGTATATTGAAAATTTCTGTGGTTTTAAACTGGCTCGAGTGGTCAACAACAGTGAAAGAAATGAGCATATGTTATGTAACGCTTGGCTTATTTTACACACTAATAATTTAGGATGATAGGTTAGTTCTCATCATACAGAAGTCAACAAAGTTTAAGGCGTTTGGAGGGAAAAGTTCTCCCAGAGGTAGCTGGCCCTAAAGGAAGATCTCATGGTTGTTTCTTTACAAATTAAATCACTTAAACTCATCACACTGGGGTGATTTTGGGTACTTGATCACTGGTTTTTCCATCTTTGAAATGAGTTTTGGAAGGGGGAGGGTTTAAGGTCCATTTCCATTGAGTAAATCATTTCAAATATCCTTAATAGATAAAGATGCACTTTTAGTTAAGACATTTTGAAATGATAACTGTGATTAAAGTTAATAAAAGTATGAAATGGCATTACATTGAAATTCACATTCAATCTTAGAAAATCCTCGTTTGTTTCAGACCTCCAGTATTCAAGGCTGTACTTTTCTGCCTTTGGTTAGAGACAAAGTTGTCTGGTGTTTCCCAGTCGATGGTCTGTAAATTGAAATGCTGAATCGTCTGATTGTTCATCAACATATTGACCTTCTTTAAATTGCTTTATAAAAGTTGAACCCGCAGCACATAGCTGATCCAGTCTGAGTAATTTTTCTCTCTCCTTTTTAGATCCGTGCTGTCAGACCTCAGGTTCTGATGAGGCTCTCAAAGACCAAGAAGCATGTCAGCAGGGCTTACGGAGGCTCCATGTGCGCCAAGTGTGTGCGTGACAGGTAAGGGAAAAGATACCACATGCCCTGGCAAACTGTGACAATGCTTACACTGTATTTCACTGACAAGGACGATCAATAAACTAAGAACTGCTATCAATACATCAAATGATTGTATTATATCTAAATAGATTGTTTTGCTTCTATTCCCAGGATCAAGCGTGCTTTCCTGATTGAGGAGCAGAAGATTGTCGTCAAGGTGCTGAAGGCCCAGGCACAGAGCCAGAAATCTAAGTAAAATGTGTATTTGTATTGCCACAATAAAAAATGACAAACAAATCCATTTCCTGTTGTGATTGTCATTGAAAACATAACACCTGATGTATTTAATGATGCACTAAATGTTACAACTGCCACTGAAAGGTAAGGGTGAGAATACTGAAAGTTTTTACTGGTCAACATTTGGCCTAATACAGTTTTATCAGTGATTACAAAGACTCCACAGATAATATCATGATGGTTCTGTTGGGATTTTTGAAGATTAAGTTGAGTGAAAAGTTTTGCATATCACTTTAGTGGGACACCTGTTGACACAACACTGGCCATAAGATGAATACCTGGGCAATTCAGTGCAACTCAGATCAACCTCTACGATCAATACAATTTAATTTATTCACATTGTCAGAGAGGTGATAGTAGTTCTCTAACTGCTGAACTTGTGGGCATTGGTATTACCTTGAAGGTGTTTCATTGTTTTTACTCCTGATGAAAAAGCAGACACAATGGTAACACTCAACTGTAACCCGCTCAAGTGCACCACTTTTGATAACTGCCTGAGTCTGTTGCTCAGAGATAATATACAGGTATTTGCACTATATACAAGACTATTTTCTGTTTTTATAGTGTTCATACTTGTATATTATCTTTTTATTTTTACTTATTTTATCTATTTAGCTCTTTATTTTTATCTTTTTTTACTTTTATTTTTTTATTCATCTATTATTTATCCTCTTTCTACTTAGTTTGCACTGGAATTACTGGAACAAAAAGCAATTTCCCCCAGGGGATTATTTAAGCATTTCTGATTCTGATACTGTTACTGTGTCATGCGGGGTAGGTGTTTGTCCCAGCCAGGATACAATGTAAGAGCAAATTCCTGATCCGAATCTCTATTTGTAAATGGCACTATGAAAATAACCATGATGGGAAATGGATGGCCCTGTCCTGGTGCATAGCCATCTTAAAGGGATATTTCGGTGTAAAATTAATTTAAGGTCAAACCGTAACACAGAGTTAGACACCCTCTTGAGAGATGAATGTCATCAAAAGTACATATAGGGTCCCAGCCACAGCACTAGCCACCAAACATCCGCTGCAGTCAGTAATGGACTGGCCTGAGGTCTAGCTACACACAAGCACCTGCTGGAGGAGAGTAGGTGAGTTGTGTTCAGTCTGCTTAAGAAATCAGGCAAAGCTAAAAAGATGTTTAGTGGCTAGTGATGTGGCTGGGACCCTTTATGTACTGTTGGTGAAGTTAGGTGCTGTTTTTTGTGCATTATTTGTGGCTAAAGAGTGGCGTTTTGGTTGAGGTTTGTTTATGGCTCCTGAGACTGCTGTGTATTGCTATTGTGAGGTTGTTACTGAAGTTGGTATAACTAGAGAAGCAAGCGGTCGGCAACATTCATCTCTGGATTGTCTAACTCTGCGTTATGGTGTGTTTGACCCTAAATTAATTTTACGATGGAATATGCCTTTAATTATGCCTGAAACAAAGCAATGAATGGGTCTACATCTATCGAATTATGAACTGATGTATGTGAATGAACTCAAAGATGTACATCATGTAGAAGGTAAGCATGCATTTACGGGAAATACATTTGAGCAAATGAGAAGAATTTTCGAATCAACATTTACAAGGTGTAAATTTTACAATTACATTGAGACTGTCGCTCCCCTTTCTACACTTTCCCATGCTCCTCTCCTTTCATCCTCTTTCTTGCAAACATGACACTGTCCCTTTAAGGATACGTCACGTCAATAATTTTTATTTTTTGGAATAAATAGTGGGAGATTTGTAATTATTATTATTTTTCAAGAAAACAGAAATTTTATGCAGCATGCATGTCTAATCTGGTAAACACGCAATTTTAAAAAAAAGTAAGAATAAAATTGAAGAAAATACACGTAAAAAAAGTACTTCCGGGACACGTCAACAAAGTCGCAGTGCAGGCGGATGTCAGTCAGCCGTATCTGCCGTATTGTAGTAAAAGGCAGTTTCTCTCTAAACCATGGAGACTTTATACAGTATACCCTTTAGTGTGCTGGAATGCCCGAATATAAAACTGAAGAAACCATCATGGCTGCACATGCCGTCGGCTATGACTGTGTACGCGGTTGTTATTGTGTCCTACTTTCTCATCACAGGAGGTAAGTGGATGCTAAGCTAATATCATTGTAGAGCTTCGTTTAAAGTTAAGATCCAGTCATGTTTGGTTGGAATAGAGTCAGATATTGCTGGGTTTGGATACGATTACATACTAGCTTTATTACGTTATTGCCATTGCTATGATCAATATGTAGGCAGTCTAATTTTGCAGTGCAGTTAGCACCTGAGACTACTGAAATGCATCATACTGTAGTATTATCCAGCAGGGTTAATCTCTGGATCACATTGAGTATTGATGGCTATGTTTTGTAGATAGATAGTCCCTCACAGTCTGATCAATATCCACTCTGTTTTGATTATAGGTATCATCTATGACGTGATTGTTGAGCCTCCAAGTGTAGGATCAATGACTGATGAACATGGACACCAGCGGCCAGTCGCCTTTCTGGCTTACAGGTGAGTCACCCACAACACTGTGAAGATCTCTTAAAAACTACAGCTAAAGCCAAGAGTTTACTGGAGATCAAAATATCGGGTGTTTATGTTAAAGTAGTACTTTGATTGCACTCATTATTAAACTTTTCTTTCCAGAGTTAATGGGCAGTACATCATGGAGGGACTGGCTTCCAGTTTCCTCTTCACAATGGGAGGCCTGGGCTTTATCATCCTGGACCGCTCCAACGCGCCAAACATTCCCAAACTCAACCGCTTCTTGCTGCTCTTTATTGGGTTTGTTAGCGTTCTCCTCAGCTTCTTCATGGCCAGAGTGTTCATGCGCATGAAACTACCGTAAGTATCTCCCGTAAGATTGAGAACCTGTTTTATTAAAACTCTAAATGTTTTTTTTTCAGCGTTGTACTGACTTATTTTGTATTTGCAGTGGGTACCTGATGGGCTGAAGACAACACAAGCACGCTTAAGATAACTTGGATGGACAGTGGATGTCACTCTCTGGGGCCAAATGGGCAGTTCCACTACATTTATGGAGAAACCCTACCTTTGAAATGATCTACAACCATTAAGGACTGAAAGCACTGACTTTGATCGAGAAGTTAGACCTGGCTGCACTGACAGTCTCTCACTGGCTCTGTCTTAATGGTGTTCAGTGACTTCTTACCCTCCTCTTTCCTCTAAATATTCACACAAAGTCATGTTTTCCCATAAAAAAAACAACTGATACTGGACTGAAGTATGACAGGAAAAAGAAGTTACTGAACACTATTGGCATAAAGCTACTTATTTGGAATCAATATTGGCACTGTATTTGAATACTCAAGAATGGAATCTGAAAAATGTTTCAGTTTTACTTTTTTTTGGTAAAGAAATCCTTAAAAACATCAAACTGATCTCAAATGCATTTTTGTACACGGATATTAAATAAATATTCTTTCCAGAGCTTCTTGCAGTCCATTTTATATATTTACAAGATTGTGTGCCATCAAAACTTGACAAGATGGGTTTCATTAAACGACAGAACGCAGTATATGATAACACAGTAATTAGGGGATGTGAGTTCTAGTGGAGTACTGCAATTTACTCTCCAGAAGGGGGCGTTATAGACTAGGAGTAATGCCTCCTGTTGAGCACTTATCAGGAGTGTTCCCTCTAGTAATGAATAGACAACAGACAGTTAGAGGGCTGCAAATCACTCGCAGTTTGACGTCTATACATTTAAATTAAAAATGGTGAAGAATATCCTTACAGTGACCTCAGAGCAGAAGTTGTTATGGTAATACTGGTAAATGCTTCTTTAGTGAATACCAGAGATGATGACGTTACAATTAATTTGATAACAAACATATATAATGAGTTTTTCAATGTGCAACTTCATCCTCCAATTATAATCTTACCAACGCAGAGCTTCAACCTTGCACATCGACACAATACAACCTATTACATGCAAGACCAGATGCTGAGCCAGCTGAAAACCCTGATTGTTGACATGGGGCAATTATTAGCAGCAACTATTCAACCTGTATTCTAAAGTCGGGAGGAGGGGAACAATTTTCTCCTCTCTGAACGGTGATAAATCCCTGTTTCCAGCTGTGCGGAGACAATCAAATTACAGTGTGCTAATATTTTCAACCCGAACAGTGTAATTTTAGGTTGTGGATAAGCAGCACATTTTTCCCTATGCCTATTCAATCAGTATAGTTTTGTAGTTAAAGGGCAAGTAGAGGAGAAAGACTCCAAGCTAGTTGTGAAGAAGCAGGTACAGCAAATTACTTTAAATGCTGTCTGCACTGGCAAAATTAAAAATCATACCACTGTCGCAGTATACTGATCTATTTACCCTTTCAATCGAACACATGTATTTTGATCTGTTTAGTCTGCACAGAAAAGCACGAGAGCTCCCCCCACTGCTCCCCACTCTCTGCAGTGCCAAATGCACCCCTGGAGTCCAGTTTGCTAAACCTCTTTAGTCTGCAGACAGCACCACAGACTAACAATCACAAGCCTGTTCCTGGATTCTATTCTTGACACTGAACATGCACAAAACTGCAGAGATGTCAGTAAATGTCAGAAGCCCTCCAAACTCTGCGCAGTATCATAACCCTAACAGCCAAATGTCTGCGGTGGAAATGTCCAGGCTGCTAAAATCAACAGTCTCCCAGGATGTTAAAATATGTGTCCAAAATAGACAGTCATGAAAAAAATGATTCACAGGCGGATGTACTTAATGCATCAGTTCAGAGAGTGCAATCTGACAGATGCAGCGGAACCAGTTCCCAGCACTTCATCTGGTTTGGATCAGATAGGAAAAGACTACAATGGGAATCAGGACTGCAGACAAAATATGTATTCCATCTAGGACATATGCATTTACACAACATAACAAACTTTTCCTTAGAGCAAATACATGAATAGTATGTACCTGCAGAAAACAAGTTTGGTGAAGTAAACAAAAAAAGAAATATTTCAAAATTACTGTTTCTATTTATTCAGTATTTATCTCCAACCATCTTGCTGACCACTGTTGTCCCTGTTTTCAGCTTTGAGTGCATTTGTCTGTAGTCTCATCCAAACTCTGTTAATAAACATGGGAACACTGGTAAATAATTGCAGACTTGTCAAACAGTATCTGTTTGTTTGGTTAAGGCAGAAGAAGAAAAAAAGATACTCAGAGTGCTTATAGTCAGTGCATTTATTTCTTTTCTACTTGCATTTGCTTGATTCAAGCCAGAAATCAGGATCTACACAGTATGACATGCTGTTTTTTTTATTCAAAACCAATCAATACACTACAAAATGTGCAATAGTCTGTGCAAATATTCCACTCTTTCAGCTGCAGTGAGCATTTTTAAGAATCACTTAAAACTATATTAATAGGAATGTAGGCATAGTTGCATATTTCCAAGTATCTATGATATTTTGCGAGAATGATTCCCTGATAATCACAGGCAAATGAAAGTTGGCATAAATTAAAATAGAAGATATACAGGTTATGAAGCGTTAAATGAATTTTAGCACCAAAGTACATCCATAATAGACATGCTGCCGTTGAATAAGTGGCTTGAGTCCTACATGTAATTAAAAATATAACCTGAGATTACACCTCAATCGTCATATGCTGTATGCAGAATATTAGTTAAGAATATAAAACCCTTTTTCTCTGTTGGTATCATGTTGAGGTCATATATATTTTTTTATTTTCCACTTCTTTATACCTGTACTTCAGCTATGTTAAAGACAAAGTGTTTTCATCATTATGTCTTGAGGCGTTTGGCTTGTTTGGTTTGTTTGGTTTGTTGAGGAACTCCTTGACTGCTTCCATTGCTGTGTGCTAACTCGCTGGGATACTGGTGTCCATTTTCCTCAGTCGGCAGCTTGAGATAAAACCATGAAGAGATAAAGTTTAAATGAAAATGAATAAATTTTTTTTGTCCTATAATTGCCTTTTTGAAGTATATGATAGCATCAGAGGTTGGTCTAAATGTTGAATTTGAAGCTTGGTGAAATTACAACACTTAGCAACACACCCAAGTTTTAAATATGAAGACACCTACCTTTCTTTTGCTGTTTTCATTCTCTACATTCAGCGTGTTGTGCAACGTCAAGCCTAAGGCCACCTCAAGTTCTGCAAGCACAGACACAGTGACATACATGACTTGAGGCTTCCATAACAGACCACAACTGTTTAAAATAACAGAAAAGCCGTAAAGATGACAGTCTATTCAAGCAGCAACATCACAGAAAACTTCACAGAGTAAAAAAGGGAATAATGTTTGGTACCTGTGAGAATGTTGTCAATATGTCCCACAGCCAGATCTGCGTCCTCTGTAGAAAAGCACAGGGGGGGCTTGAATTTCAGCACATTGCGATGAGGTCCGTCAGCGCTAAGGAGTATGTGCTGTTCCTTTAGTCTGGGACAAAAAGTATGAAGATAAGTAAAACACATTATTTCTCTATGGCAAAGAAGGAAAGCACAGGTGACTGAGATAAATAAAAGATGGCTCTGCAGACACACCTACATGACTGCCTCCTTAATTAATGTAATTAATTACACCTGTGCTTTTCTGTGACAAAACAGTCAAAAAGCCTGATGAAAAAAGGCTTTTTAAGTGACATTTTTTAAGAAAAACAGACACTTTCTTATTGTTTTCTTTTAATCAAAATTTAAAAAAAAAATAATATCTAAAATTTGACAAAATCCATGAGACTGACACTATTTTAACCCGGTCAGGCTTTCCAAGCTCATCTTGTCACTGTTTCATGACTCCTCCTGGTGGTGGTAATGCCATTAACCCTCTGAGGGCATTTTCGTCACATGCATTTCATTGGATACGTTACATAAATGTGAGAAAATGATCAATTATTCAGGATTTTCTGTCCTGTGATATTATCTTTATCATATCCAATGTATTGACTGGCTTGAAAAACTGATTAATTTCTCAGTAGGTGTAAAAACGTGTCTGTGAACTCTGATGTATTTAAAATACAAATTTAAAAAACTCCATAGATGAAATATCACAAAAGGTCACGAGTCAGAGGCTGAATTTTGCTGTTTTATCTAAATATAAGGCAAAGGAGTGCACACTGTACCATTTCTTCATTATAACAGTATTGTTACACCATCATGTTCCCACCGCAGTATAACCAGCCATGTGTTGGATATTCGACACTGATGTAATCACAGTGTACCAAAGCTATCACAACACTGCTAGAAGGCTGTGTTTGGATAATAACTGGTTTCTAAAGAAACACAAGTTACAGAAGCACGGCTGAAGTTTTCATAAGAATGATTAGGGATTTGACTGCTGGCTATGTTGTATAATTTATCTTTGGTCATTTTTTAAAATGATATCTGAAACTAATGTGACATCCTTCACTTACTTATATATGACCTCTTGGGCTTCTGCTGTAGCAGGAGTGAGTTTCAATCTGTCCTTCACAAGCTCCACTCCAACAAAGAGACCACGACCCCTGCAAGATGTGGTATCACTGGGTTATATCATCATGAACACATCAAAAACATTTATACACACCACTGTTTGTTTTGTCTTATGTAACAGAAGTTTTGGCAAAGACGGCCTTCAATATACTGACTTCTTGCATCTCCCTCGCTGTGTTATGTTTGTGCGAGCAAGGTATGAACTTTGTCTGGCGTAATCAGAAGTGTCTTGGATAAGCTTTTCCATGGGCGGATAATCAGCCGTTATGTCATACGCTGTACCTGTAAGGGTGTATGCCAGTGTCTGTGTGTGTGTGTGTGTGTGTGTGTGTTTGCTCACCTGATATCACCAACCAGTGGATGCTTCTCTTTCTGCTTTTCTAGCAGATTGGTCAGGTATCGCCCCACACGCAACGCATTCCCCTGCAGATCTTCTTTCACAATCACATCCAGCACAGCCAGACCGATGGCACATGACACTGGGTTACCGCCAAACTGAGAAATTCAAAACCCACACACAGAGGAAAGATTACACCCAGGTGAGATAAACACCAGCCAATGTGCAAAATCAGCACCTTTCCCATCTATTGAGGACAGAACTGTGCGACAATTTGCTGCAAGATGATGGCGATTAAATTTGCCCATAAATCCAACTCTTTTTTTCCAGTTTGTGATCACGGATGCAAAATACACCAACCTACTGGAAATCATTCAGTATGAAAGATGGAACTCTTGCATTTCTTTCTTTTTCTCAGCTTTTTTTTCACCGGAAAAATAAGACTTTCAGGGAAACCAAGACCTGAACACACTGATTTTCTTTTACCTTCAAGGTGGGGTAGGCAGGATTCCATTAAAAAAGCATATTTTTCTGTGGTGTATATACAAAAAAGCTTTTAATATCAGTCAATAGCTATTAGTTATTGATGACATTCGGTTCTATAATGATATCGCTGTGTTCTCTTATATCTGTGTAGTCAACATTTTAAATTTTTTTAGTGGCCCGCTCTTTCTGACTGTAAACAAAGCCGTTCCCCGCCTGGTTGGGAGGGGAAGTGTTTACATTCAAGATTTCTCCCAAAAACTGGCACTTCCTGAGACTCTGCCTACCCCACCTTTAATGTTGAAACCAGCTGTGATGAATAATATATCAAGAATGAGGTCAGATAAGCTATATTTCCAGTGAGACTATTTGATGTGAATTTGCGATCTAGTTATATTTTTGTGTACAAAGTCTCCTTTCAATCATCCATACATTACAAAGTGCTCTTACTGTATTGAAATACTCCATTCCTGTTTGCATGAAGGCCTCTGCCACCTCTTTGGTTGTGACCACGCAGGACATGGGGTGGCCGTTGCCTATAGGCTTGCCCATGGTGACGATGTCAGGTACAAAATCCTCTCCTTGAAGCTGGAAAGCCCAGAAGTGGGTACCGACGCGTCCAAAACCAACCTGGACCTCATCAGCAATAAAAACGCCTCCTGCTTTACGCACATGTCTGCAAACACAGATATAAGGAAGCATTTTAAGTTATCTATGCAGCAATTTCCATCTTTTTCTTCGCTTTTACTTAGAAATTTCCAGATGAATCATGTTGTTGAGGTGATTCTGAACAGAAAATAAGAGTTAAAAGTGCCTTTGGACACTTCAAGAGATTGAACTTGTGCATTAACTTTGGTACATACTCTGCAACTTGCTGGTAGTAGCCCGCTGGGGGAATGACCTGCCCGCCGCAGCTCTGTAATGACTCAGCAATAAAAGCCGCTATCTGCAGGAGAAAAGCAAATAACAAACATGGATCTACAACCAACCACTGATAAAAAGGAAAAGAGGAAGTGTCAGAAATGAAAGTTTACAAAGTTCCTGTGGAGAAAATGTCTTTACTTAAGAAAATCACTGTCAAACCAGCAGGATACAGAATTATCATTGAAGAAATACAACAGTAGATCAAGTTCCTCTTGTTCGCCCATCATTAGTCCAGTCAAACATACAACACAGCTGTGTTTTATAGTGCAACCCTGCACTGAAGTCCCATCTCTCTCCTCTCACTGGAAGGAAGCACAGCCTTGGTTTGAGTTTTGCAACATATGATTGAAGGCCAACAAGCTCGGAGGCCAAGAGTCCCTACACATGTTCTTGTGATTAAGGATTTGACCCTAAAAGCCCGAGTCCTCGGCCTGAACCTGGAAAGTGGAAGAGAAAAGTAAAGGGTGCAAATGATGAGCAGTCATAAATAAAAGGAAGGAAAAGACAATTTTATTGAAGTCAGATTTGTAATTATAATGAATCACATTGGAAATAAAATGCAGCAGGGGTGTCACAAAGATCATTATATCCAAGTTTGATTTTATTTTTCAGTCAGATAATCATACTTATTAGCATATTATTTTTAACTTTCAATACTGTGGTTCAAAAGCCAATCAGTGCACAGATTTCCACTCTTCCTCTCCTCGATGCAGAAACAATCAATCAGACTTTCATTCAACAAAGAAGCAAAGTGATCGCTTCTCTTCTTGAAGACCTGACAAAGATTGCAAAGGTGAAGCCTCAAGTGTGACAGTTTTTATAAAGAACCTTCACTAAATACAGTTGGACAGACTAAGAACCAAGAAATATTGATATTTACTTTGCTGACATTTTTAAAGGCAAATAAAGCTATCGTTTTGATCTAACACCACAAAGGTGTTTCTCAAGTTTTTGACTTGACTGAAAAACATGAGCAAGTACATGTAAGTCTATGCTGTAAGTTTTTTTTTTAATGATAACATTTACTTCACAAGGGTTTATCTATATGGGATTTATCACCAAAAGACAACTGCATATTGGATTCTGTGCTTGCTTTTAATTAAGTAAAAGCAAAATCTAAAAGGCATATTTACAAGTGTTGGAAAGTCATGCATTTCTGAGGTCAAAAGGCCAATCTAACTTTGCGCAAAATCAAGTAACACAACAGTGTCGAACAGTAACTTTACCTTGCCTCCTTTCTCTTGGACTTTGTGAATCATCTCTTGAACCTCATCTGCATATGCCGTAGCAGGGTCAGGGTGGTCCACTCTGTATTTGCCTCTGTATACATCTGGGCTTGGAGCCTGTACAGGAAGCAAGCATTCAAGTGTTAGAAAGGGGCCAGAATCGCATTTAAATTGACCTCAAATGTGACTGTCAGTGGTCAAGTATTGGGTAACAAGTGATAACCAGAGTCTGACTTCTTCTTAGTGCCTATAATCATGAATAAAATATAGAGGCCGGGGTAACAGACAGACTTGCCCCACCTTTGGCATGTAACTTTAGAGCTGGGGGTTCCACAAGCTGCTGTATCAAACTACAAAAAGGCTATCAAGGAACAGACAAAGACACACACTTGGATAAGTTTGAAAAACTGCTCGAATATTTAAGAGGATACTTCTTGGTACTCTTCATCTCCTCCTTGTGTGTTTATGACTTTGAATGTTTTCAAGACACGACTACAACCCTGACACAAACAGAGTTGAATGTCGTAAAAGGTCTCTGTGTTTCATGTTTCTTTTTCCTCTTTTCCTGCTCACACAAACACACACGTCGGCACTCTTCTCATTAGCCTGTCAAAGCCCCGCGGTGCAGGTCGAGTCATGGTGTTTTAATAATGTGCAAGCAGGCAGACAGAGAGAGGAAAGCACTCACCACATGGACTGATTGGTTTTTCTCAACACCTGACAGCTGGTGGAACTTGTACGGACTGATGTCAATGAGGGATGAGACATGCCCGTGGTACGCACTGCAAACAATGTAAACATGTCAGTTCTGGTCGATAAACCATCTAATAAAACCTCAAACAACAGAGGTAAACCACAACATAAAATACAATTTGTCAAGCTCTAATCTCTCATTCTCTTCAACATCCTTTCTTTTGGCTTGTGTGCGCAGTGATCCGGCTCTTACTTGTCTAGCGTGATGACGTCTTTGTGGCCCGTGTACTGCCATGCCAGGCGAAGCGCCAGGTCGTTGGCTTCAGAGCTGAAGTTCAAAAGAGCAAGGGTTACTTTGAGTTACTGAGTCACCACAGAACACACAGGTGAAGCTGCAGGTATCACCCGCACGTCAGTCACAGTTTAATGTTTTACCTCCCAATACGGGTGCATAAGAGGTCACACCCATTTGAATCAATAATGGGAACCTGATCGATGAAACTGAAGGTGACTGAAATTTAAATTAACCTTTTTTTTTAATACAACTCTCAAAAGTATGTGCATTTCTGTTTGTGGTGTTTAACTTTGGAACAGCCTGGATGTCACTATAAAATAGAGAAATATTAAGAGATTAACATAAGTAAACTAACAAAAATATGGTGCTATGCTAAATATACTTAATTGCATGGAAGTAATAATTCTTCACATACGTGATGTTTAATTCGCAAACTACAGTCCCATATAAAGCTGTGTTTGAACCTTAATCAACAAGTTTCCACCACGGTGACCTGCAAACCAAGCTATCGCCATCCGAGAGATAACTCATCTCATCTATGCTGTAAAGCTCCTGATAAGTTTGTATGCTGGTGTTCATATATCCAGAGACACTTTGTAACTCCAGAGTGTTGAAAGATCTGATAGACAGATCTGATGCCTCAGCATTTTTCAGCCCAGCTTCATGTGTTTGCATGGTCTGCTATTTCTCAAATGTAAAATTATAACATTCAAAGTTGACTTAGATCAATCTACAGCACTTTGAGAGACAATCAGCTGCATTGCTAAGTTGCCATATTATGAAATTATACTTTTAAGGTCATTATAGTCATGAAGAGCTTATGTCTGTCTATGGAGGTTTCATTGAGAAGTGATGGATTTGCTACAGACTCAACTGAGGTCAACAACAAGTTTTGATCTCCACTAAATTTGTCAGTATGAAATGGAATATTACAAAACGTAACACATCCTTCAGCCTCATAACTGCACTTTTGTTTGCATAACCATTGAAACCATTTGTTGAGATAACACAATACCTCTTTTTTGTCTGGTTTATAACCTCTCCGAGGCCATATACTCTTGGCTGATAAATACTGAGTCTGATATGGGATCATTATCTCTCACATTATCACTCTGGACTAGATCGTTTCTGTTTGCACTGCAGAACTCCTGCAAGTGGAACAAATAAGTGATCAGGCTGTACAATTTCTTTCATCTAAAAGGCTGAACTCTCTCCAGGAATCTTGATCTGAAACTATCCTAGTCTTTCGTTAAAGTGAAATAATACTGCTGTTTTTCAATCTGTGTGACTATTTCACTTTAAAATTCAGACTTAAGAGAGGCAGCTCATTTTAAAATATATTTACCTTTCACTTCATAACAGTTACAAGATCGCTAAACATGTGTGGACCACACCTTTTTATTTCCTGAACTTAATTGCTGTAATTAAGGATAGTCTGGCTCAGGAACTGATTAAGTAAGACTAGATTTAAATCAAATACCAACTGCAAATAAACTCATTAACCTCTCTAGTGTATGTTCAGCGACCTCATTTAAACTCATCCACGCCCTTACAAAACAAGTCTGGTAAATCTTTGTGATGTGTTATTTGTTTGAGGAGTGTGCGACCGTGCGGACGTACCCAGAGTTAACAAAGTAGCACACAGAAAGCTTGTCAGGCAGAGTTGCCTGCAGTCTCTGGGCATACAGTACGAGGTTGTCGTGTAAGAACCGCGAGTTGGTGTTGAGTTGTTCCATCTGCTCAGCTCCCGCTTTCACCACATCTGGGTGACAGTGGCCCACTGGGAAATGGAAAGATGATTGCAAACAGGGTTAGAAATTGTCCTTGAGTTTGAACCAAAAAAAGACACTTTTTATTACTGGTCACCCAATCATCTGACTGTAATTTGAGGTCAGAAAACACCACAATGACTTACATTAGGGGCACATAATTGGAGGCTATACGCTGGAATTAAAGAGACAGGAGACATCCTGTTTTACATTCATGTACGTATATGCCTGCAAGTCGTGCAGCTGTAGCTTGAATTAGGTAAACATTGCACAACTACTTTTTATGTAGGGCAGATTAGTCTGTCACACAACTCTACCAATGCAGATACCTGTCTTCAGATCCAACTCCATGGATTTTATGGAGTTCACTTCTTAAATTTGCTGTTTCTAATGTAAAAACAGACCCAAATGTTATAAATATATGTCTGTGTGATTACCATGAGCCACATTGTTGATGCAATCCAGGTAGCGCTGTCCTTTTTCATCATACATGTACTGGCCTTTGGCTCGCACAATCTTGATCGGATCATGGCTGAAGAAAATCTTACAAGATGGCCTGCAGAGGAGCTGATATTAATGTTTCCAAAAATATGAATAAATGAGGAGATGAGTAGATATAATGGTTGGCAAAATATCATTGGTTGTGGTACATTGATATAGTCTACAAATAAACTAAATACTATTAAATTTCACTGATATTTAAGCGATATAATGTTTGTTTCTTTTGGAAGAATAGATTGTTTAAATTTGAGTGTAAAGCTATGTTAAGCTGTATCTTTAGAGGAAGTCTGTAGAAACTTTGCCAACTTTCAAGGGACGCCATACTACGTTTCTTTAACACAGTCACTATAGTTGGACATATTTCCACCAGACGTCCGTCACCAAGAAACTTTTCAGCGTCACTAAAAAAAAAGCATGTCAATTATCTTACCCAACATGCTTCTTCCTCAGCTCTATCGTCTTCTTCTTCTCCAGCCTTTCCTCAGACATCCTGATGTTGTCCCGCAGGTGAGCGTAACGTTCACTTATCTCTCAGCCGACTCCAAAGGCAGCTACATCTGCTCGAGAGCGTAAAAGCCAGACTGACAGTCACGCACGCGCACAGGCACTCGGAAACGAACACTCGAATACTCGAAAACATCTGCGGCTCGCGCTGCACTCTCGTGCTGCCATCTAGCTAAACCTGAACAGCTGACTGTCTGTCAAGTTGCAGACGCCTCGAGGACAGCAGTGACGTGTTCCAGGTATGGAGTTACACGCGAGCAGGCTGTTTTCACACCTGTTCTACGGCTGGAGCAGTATGTTTACTAATTTAACGAGTATGTTCTCCACCACAATGTTTCCTTCTCTGTCCACTTCAACTTTAATAAAAATTTTGTCCCCTTTCTTCCTCAAAATCTAGCAAAATCTTGGCTTTAACCCTCCTCCTGTGTTAGGGTCTGCACCGACCCGTTTTTAATGTTAAATGCGTAAAAGAACCACTTAAATTAACTTTTTTGCTTCAAGACTTTTGGACTTTATCAAGAACCTCTATTTCAACAAAAAAAAAAAAAAAAAAAAAAAATTAAATTGAATAAATGATAAAATGCTCTTATTAAAATTATGGCACTTCTAATGTTAGGGTCACTGTTGACCTGGTCAGATCAATATCTAATAATTAGAGCAAAAACTGAAATTATAAGTGCACTGTCAGGCACCACACTGACAGACAGATCCTCTTCCAATCATGTGAGCTTAAGGAAATTCAAATTTTTCCATGTTTTTCCCTACATTGGGCAAGTCCAGACATGTGAGATCAGTTCAGTATCGATGTCTTTATGAGGGGTATACTGACAAAGAAAAACTATTATAAGCAATATTTTCATGGATAATGAAGCCTAACAAGGTAACCTAGAGATGAGAACCAAATTGGATGATAGAGAATCGTTTTTAGTGTAATTTACAGCTGATTTAAGACACGGGTCAAAACCGACCCTTAACATGGTGGGTACAAAGTGAAAGCTAACACAGGAGGAAGGTTAAAGGTGGGGTTACAGAAGCTTCTTTTTCTGTGGTGTGTATACAAAAAAGCTTTTAATATCAGTCAATAGCTATTAGTTATTGATGGCATTTGGTAATATAATGATATCGCTGTGTTTTGTTATGTCTGTGTAGTCAACATTTTAAACTTTTAGAGTGCTCCGCTCTTTCTGACTGCAAACAAAGCCGTTCTCCGCCTACCCCAACCTGATTGGCTGTGCTCCCCGTGTTGTTCACGAGCTCAAACAAAGTTAGCGTGCTACAACATCAGACAGTAGAAACCAACCAGAAAGTACAGAAAATTGTCTGAATTTTCCTTTGGTCACAACTGCCAACACAAGCAAGAAAACGAAGTAAATACCAGGGACTGTGGTGGAATAACGGGCGCTTAAAAAGGAGGTAGACCGGACAAGAGCTAAGAAGCCAGGTCAACAATGATGGGGGAGGCTTTGGGATCATACAGACCCTGTAACCTTTCTGCTGGACAGGTAAATCGCTTTAACAACGTAAGCCAAGTGTCTGTAACAGAAGTGTTTCTTGTCAAACGGGACCTGCTGCATGTTGTAGTGCCGCTAAACTATTTACCTCAGGTCCTGGAATACCTTAGTCACTTTATCCTAGTTGTAGAAGTCCTGCAAACATTGTGTTTGCTGCTCGTCTGTTGGCATCTACAGTAGCACCAATGCTTTTTACTTTCCAATGACTGGGCCCCATTTGTAATCATCTTAAGTATTTATCTGCATTATATCTGAATTAAATTGAAACGATACGAGCAAGCAGGATTGTCTGTTTGTGGGCGGGGCTTGCTGGAGCAGAGACGAAGGGGAGAGGAGGAGCTGAAGAGAAAACTGGTTGGGAGGGTTAGTGTTACATACATACATTTTCTCCCAAAAACTGGCACTTCCTCAGATCCTGCCTACCCCACCTTTAAAGGGCAGAACAGAATCCTTGGACGAAACCAGACTGGTTGTTGAGACAGCCTGCTGCACTAACCCCAACACAGCACATACTTGGTTATGGTTCAGAAAGAGACCACAAAAGAGTTAACACTTTGATTGATGTACTTGAAAGACTGTGTTTATTTGGCTCCAACAGTACAGTCATTTTGAAATGTCTTTTTGAAATATAGAAGTGTGAACACAAGGGTCTCCAAAGAAATGACAATCAGTCGGGTAAAAAATGAAAAATACAAAGGTAGAAGAGATACTGAACATATTCCACGACCCCCCAAAAATCAATTAAACAAAACACACAACATGGATGTTGTACTTTTGCTGCTGTACCACGACTACATTTTATTCTGTGTGACAAATTAGTCTTCCTTCACTAAGGCTGCAGTGCATCGGAGGCTGTCAATGTAAATGTTCTGATGAGATCCCAGTGTATTTCAGCAGTGTGTATGGATGTTTTTTTTTTTCCAAATATTTGACATCAAGACTTCAAATTAAGAAGTTTTGAGTTTAATTGGTGTTTAATCGGCTGCTGCTGGGACACTTGACTCAGAGCATCTCTGCACCGATGTCAAATAAACAGATGTGTCCTATATGAGTCATATCCGAGCCCCTCACCAGCTCTGCTAATACTGATACAGAAACTAACACTGACATAGAAACAAGTGTTTGAAATGTTTTGGCACACCTGCTTACAGCAGAATAAAAAAAAAAAGAAACTTCAACAAGGAAACACATTTTCACACAAACAAACAAATCAAAGTTTTTAAAAAATCAATGAAAAATTAGCTGCACATGCTAAAGATACAGCAACTTGTGTGAACAAATACTGTAACAAAGGCTGGAAATCAAAACACAAATTTATAAAACCCACAATGCAAAAATTTAGTAAATATTATACAATGGAAATAAAGTTTTACAACATGATGGAGGGGGTATTTTTGAGGAAGTATGTCAACCAATCATTAATTGAAATTTAATGAAAGGTCCATGTCTACATTAGTTTCTTTGTCTGTGATTTCAGGTAGTGGTATACAGGGTAGCATGACTGAGCAAATGGAGCTTCAGGAATCACAACTGTGTGACATTTCTGCTGCATTTGATGCTACACACATGAACCAAAGTATAAATTGCACTTCTTGTCAAATGAGCACACATTTCAACAGTACATTAATAAACCACTATACATATATCAAACTACATTCAATGCAAAGAGAGACAGAGAAGAGAAAGAGTGAGAAAAAGCAGTGATGTTATACTTGACACAGTTGCATCGGCTGGGCCTGGATACTCAGGCTATTGGTACTTTAGTTAGCTTTTTGACACGCAATATTAAATAAAACGCATGTATTGTAAGGCCTATATGTTGAAACAAATGCACCATGATACCACACTACTCTCTAATCTGTGAATAACCACCTTTCTGCACACCGTCATGTGATGCCTTGGCATGATGCAAATTCCTCTTAGTAGAAAAACGCAGCAGACATCAAAACAACCGCAAGGAATGCTGTTTAAAAACCAAAATGCCTTCATTTAAGAAATTATAGAAAAATAAATAATGTACCACTTAAAATATTGTGACAAATACACAAATATATGCACAAAAAAATTAAAATTGTTACATACAACAATAAAGAAACCTGTTGCGTAGTTCATGCCTCTGGTAGAGCGCATCGGCTGAGCTGTCCTATCAGATAGCACCAGTATAATCTATACAGATGTGTATCCATTCCCTTAAACAAAGATAAACTGTACAATCAAACAGAAACAGCATGGAAATAAATGCTCTTGAATCCATCTGTGGCTGCTGCTACATCACAACAAAACCTGCCCTCACAGTAAGTCATTCATGCATTTTTTCTTACGCTGAAGAAAAAGAAGTACTGCGAGGATCACTTTGCATAGCACCCACTATGTCAGAAGGCAGTTAGAATATAAGAAACATGAGTAAAATATGGTGATAAAGGAAAATAAAGACCTAGTTTGGACTTACTGCTTTGCTTTTTGCTCCATTTGATAAGGAATGTGACTAAACTGGCCACCAGTTAGACTGCAGTGTAATAATGGAGGGTCACCAAATACCTGTGTCGATCAAATGTAGCTTTTTCTTGCAATGAAATACGTTTCCCATATGTTTAAGACAACATAAAAGGTGTTAAAAAGCAGTGTAATGCAACTGCTGTTCAACACATCTGAAATACCAGTTATTGTAAGCTCAGCTAAGCTTGCGTTCAATGCCTTTTGTTTCTCATACAACTGTTTAAATCGATGCTTATTGTCAATATCTAGGAAATCCATATGTAATAAATGGTGTACATGCAGTGAATTGACAACACTGTACAGAGAACATCCTATACAACAAGTCCAGAATGACCAAGTAGCACATTTTTAACACCGCTGGATGTGTTTTCGCAAGAACACTGAGCGTCTTTAAAACCCTGTACAGGTAAGCTACAGCCTACATGCTAATGAAAAACGTCTTCAAAAACAACAGTGCGCAATGAGATTTATCAATACTCATGACCAAACAAAGCTTACCCTCCTGAAATAAACACGGTTCCGATAATTCAACAAATGATATAAAGTTTCTGATAAAGGAATGAATAAAAGCTTGAGGCACCAAAGGCTATTATACACAAAATACAAACAATGGTAGAAAAATGAGAGCAAGAACGGAAGAAAAATAAAGAAAAGAAACATGATTGCATTCTGTTATCGCTCTCAATACACACTGAAGCAACGCCTGTAAGGAGAGGCAGATGCTCCAGCTTATCTCCATGGAGACTGGCTCTCGGTGAATCTCCTGTGGATCCATTCCAGTCCATTCTCAGAGGGGGGTCCTGAGCCTGATTTACTTCTCTATCAGTGCAGTAAGCCTCGCAAAGTTCTCCCCTCTTGTCTGGCGGGATGTGAACGCGCCACATCGGTGCGCCACATTTGCGCCATAGTGAAAACCTGCTGAAACCACACCCTCTGCAGGCATCACCACAATAAAGCAACAATAACTTTACTTTTCAGGGGGGTTCAGGCTACCAGCCATGGTGTGACTCCCTTGAGAAAATAAAGCAAAAAAACAAACTAATTTTAAGATCCGAGATGTTTTTTTTCTTCTCATGTTAGTGTTGTTTTCTTTTACTGCAGAAGCCATGACGCAACCACATAACAGTGACACAT